TGACGCCCTAGGCCACTTACGACCCCCTCCCCCTCAGAATTAGTAAATCAAATCAAAATATAGGCAAGCACCTTATGCCTTTTTAAAGCTTCTGCCGCCCCGGGCTATGGCCCTTTTGACCATAGGGTAAATGGGGCGTATTTACTTGGGTGTTAAGAGCAGGATCTGCTTTGGATAGACAAGGCACTTTGGAGACCTCCGTGGCTGAGTGGTTTGTACGCCGGGTTTCATGATGTCGCCGACTCGAGAGGTCCCGGGTGCGAATCCCAATGGCGGCATGTTTGTGTGATGAATACGAGCATTTGTACTCCAGTCATGGATGTTTAATATGTATTTCTATATAAATACTAATATATGTACAGTATATGTATTCTATCCGTTACCTAAGTATCCCATAACACAAGCCTTACATCGCTTACTTTGGGGCTAGGTTAATTGGTGTGAGTGTTGCAAATATAATAATATAATATAAAATATTTAATTACTAGATAAAAGATACTTATTTGTACGCGTCAGCATGTATTCTATTCTATCTGTTACCCTAGCATCCCATAACATAAGCCTAACAGTGCTTACTTTGCAAGCAATATATATAAACATCCACGACTAGGTACAAATGCTCGTATTCATCATACTAACATTTGCCCTCACCAAGATTCGAACCGGCGAATTTGAAATCCGAAATTCAAATCCGGCGTATATACCACTCGGCCGCAGAGGTCGTCTAATACCTTATACTACGTTGTCAGCTTGAGGTTGTCATATCGAGGCACTGTGAGATCAAAGAATAGTTGTCGCGTTGCGTCGCGTCGTCAGATCGACGTCCGCGTCGCCGCAGCCTCGTTACGCGCCAATGGAGATCGTAGCGGGCGACCTTTCGACCCGCGCGCGAGGCGTGGCCGCGCCCGATTGGCTCGCCCCGCCCGTCGCTCCGCGCCCCACGCCTCTCGAGCGCCGCTCCGCGAAGTTTACAACTTCGTCACAAAACTCCTTTGTAACAAAAGCTTGGACGAGTCGCGATTTTTTTTATTGATACTAAGGAGTTTATCATGTGGAAACTCTTTGCGTGTAATAGAGTAGTTTATGATGTGGAAACTCTTTGCGTGTAATAGAATATATTTTTAGCTTCATACTAGTTTATGATATGGAAATTCTTGCGAGTACTAAGCTATTTAATTGTGCCTGTAGTTCCTATACATTACCAAACTATTAGAAGTTAATTTCTTGAGAATTAATTATACATTTTGGTTTCCATTTCAGATATTTTATAAAACAATAATAATGAACAATAAAACGTAACTTCGACAATAGAACTAAGTTTAAGTATATCTTTATTATTTTAAGTTTTTGAGAATTAATTAGCTAATCGATGAGATTTCGTATCGAAACCAAAAGATGAGAAACAAACCTTCTGTCTTATGTTCTAAATGCAAGAGCTGAATGTGATCCCTCATCATTTTTCTGTTGTTCCTTTTTAAATATGTTATTTAAAAATGCAGTGGTAACTTTATAGTACACTAGCGGCCACCCGTGACTTCGTACGCGTGGAATTAGTTAAAAATAAAGGTTCACTGCTCGTTCCCCATAGGCGATAGCGTGATACTAGGTACCTTATATGTTGACCCGACTTCTTAATAATATTCGTGACAAATTTGAAGTAAATCCATGCAGTACTTTTTGAGTTTATCCCGGATATACATACAGACAAACAGACAAAAATTCTAAAAACTATATTTTTGGCTTCGGTACCGATTGTAGATCACACTCCAAGTATTCTTTTATAAAAATTAAAATACAGTTTTGACTTTCCTACCATTTTATTACATGAATAAATAAATCTTGCATAAATCCTCAGCATCTCCAATTTACGAACACAAAGCACAATAAAGTTATTTCGAGCACACTTGAAAGTATGTGTGACAACGGGTGTGTGACTTAACGCGAGCGCGTGTCACAAGGTCGAGTCCCGGCAGAGCTTTTTACTTCGTCTGTCGCAATTTATTGCTCTTGTTTTAGAAAAGTGTGGAATTGTAATTAGCCATTCCCGGCTCATTAAAATTCTTCTATTTGTCGAGTTGACAGCACCGCTGAGTGATATGTTTTCCCTTATTTTGTGTTTGCCTTTTTTCATGAATTCCTTACGACGTTAACTTTTCCGGTATTTGACAAAAAGTAGGAGACGACTAACAGGAAAATAAGTCACCAAATTTTAAGTATGTACCTACATTTAAAATCTTATTTCATAAAAATGTAACATGTAAAAAATTATGGATAGATTTTGGATAGAAACGAGAAGTACTAGGATGTAAAAAAAACCTCTCCTCGTATTTCTGTTTAATAAGAGTAGCGCACTCTTAATAAACCGTGGTTAAAAAATTCACAATCTGTTTTTCAGTTTGCAATATGATTAACATAAGTAAAAACAATTAGGTGTGTTTGAAATTATTAGTTAAGTATTTTCATGCTCCACTTATTTGTGGGAACGTCAGAAATACGAGTATATTTCTATGTATGTAACGTAAGTACTACCTACTAGTGGGTAATGGTAGAAGAGCTATTGTAAGGTGTCGTCCTAATTGGCAACGATCATACGATGAAACGATGCGTTCTTGTCGTGCGATGATTTTTAAACATACAGATTTCTTTAGATGTGTCCTAAATTAATACAGCTCGCAAGCCGTCGCACGAGCACAGGTACATTATTTTCATCGCACAATGAGATCCCATCGCGCCATTGCACGATCGTTGCCAATTAGGACGACGCCTAAAGATTGACACAGTCTATTACATATATAAATAAGTTTAGGTCTCTCTTAAGGAACGGTGCTTTTCTCAGATGTCATCGACATGTATTAAAGATTCCTTGAAAAAATACTGATAATGAAAATCCCCTTAGGAGTTTTTGAAATCATCGTGATCACATATGTACTCGAAACCGGTTTTTTTGCAAACAACCGAATCGGTAAAAGGGCGATGAAATAAATAGCGAATTTAAATGTGAACAAAGGTTTCATGATGATACAAGATACTTGCAGCCTGCCATCGTGAAGCTAACGTCGAATTTAATTAGAAAATAACGCGACAGACCTGATGTTTTCAACAATAAATCCGACGTGATGGCACTGACTCGGCGAGCGGACAATAGCGCCCGATTACTGACCCCAGCACATGACATGCGTGTACATACATAAAGTACAGAGTAACGTGCCACACACTATCGACCTTATCACCAAGCAACAGAGCTCAATTCCCGTCCGCAGTTCACGCTTGACCTGATGCCTGTTGTACAACTACATAGGTATTGCACTACGCCATGCGTAACTCTTTTTCGCGGTGGCAACATTGTAACATAATGTGTGTTACTAGCTAACAACTGAAATTCTTATGTGACATTTCGTGGAAATTTGGTTTCTAAAGTTTTGCCTTGGGTACAAAATTTAGTGCGCAAGGAAAAAACATAATGTTGTAGTGATTTCCCGTTCTGTATGATAGGTTTCGTGATCAATTTAATTCATGCGTTATTATATGCTAATCTATTTGTGAAGTCGATATCGAATTTCAGATATATTTTGTTATATCAGATACAATATCTACATTGACATTTTGGTTACTTTAGAGATTTGGCTTTACTGTTTTCCAGCTGTCTCCTTTGTTGCCACTAGGTATAACCGATTTTGTTTATTTATTTAAATTCAAGTTTCGATGTTACAATTGCGTCTCTGTTACTTAACCGAAACTTTAAAAAACACTAATAAAAAAATGGAGAACATGTCTTGTTTCCGTATCTTTTTTTCATTCATTTATGCATTATAAGTATTTATTAAGATAAACAATTATCACTTTTGCCAAAAACTTCTCATTACGACCAATAACTATTTTTTTTATTTGCTGCCATGACAAAACACCGCAGGACACATGTTCAAACAATATCAATTGACTATGGGAAAAAGTATAGGTACTACAAAATACTAAGTATCCCACCCATCGCATAGCCCATTCCAAAATCGATGTCCTGCCACCAGCATAAATGGGGAATGCCATAAACTGTCGAAATCTTGAGACTAAGGCATGAGGTAAAAACAAGCTATTTCGTTTTTGTTAAAGGCAATAAAAATTCGCTACATTGGAAACACACGGAGGTGCTAGGTGTATCGTACGCGCAGAACAAAGGGCGCGCCGTGAACCGCGACCGTCGCGCTCGGGTGCGCGCGCGCAGACCACCTCTGTCCTGATTCTCTCTGCCCGCGTCGCATTGCCACTGACATTGAAATAACACCCAAATAACATGTGCTATAAGGCTTTTATTAGACAACCTTAAATTTTAGAGGACCATTATCAAAACATTCGTAGCCAAACACATGAACATAAGTTTAAAATATACTTAAAAATTTAAAATTATGGTGCAACAGAGACCACCTCAGTCCTGATTCTCTCTGATCGTGGCGCATCGCTTCTGACATTGAAAAAATACACAAACAACGTATGGTTTAAGGCTTCTATTATAAGTACAACCTAGGTTTTGCTATGAAAAGACCAATAACAAAACATCCATAGCCAAGAAAATGAACACAAGACTAAAATATATTTATTTGGTAATCACGGGGCAACAGAAAATGACGTGCTTTAAAAATTATAGGATTATTTTTACCAGAAGTGGATAAAAATTTCGAAATAACCATTTCTGAAAAAATAATTTATATATCCCATTTAGTCGGTGACTGTGGTTCAGCAATTTTGATAGGTGTTGGTCATCGGATAAGTGACTTAATTGATTAAGTCTGTGCTTTATTATACCGTCACTTCTAGGATGGTCCATTCTTACTGGGATATCCAGTGCCTAATATATTATATATATCTTAAAGTAACCAAACACGAATTGAGTAGCGTTTCCAAATAAGGAGTTCAATTGTTTTGCGGAAAACTTTCTCTGGCATCGTGGTTTCATAAAACCACACCGATTTTTTTGTTCTTTTTTAAGTTATTAGTTTGTTTCCTTCCAGGCGGGTATACGACAGGCGGCCCACGCGACGCAACCCCCTACTACACGGAGGCGGGCGGCGCGCCGACGGGCGCTGGCGCAGCCCCTGCGGCGGCGTCGCCCCTGGACGAGTACTACCAGCCGGAGTACCCACCGCCCCCGGCGCCGGCGCAGCCCTACCTCGACGACTACTACCACCACGCGCACGCGCACACGCAGCCGCTGCTCACACACGAGCCCAAGTACCAGCCGCACGCATACTCCAAACCTTATCCTAGAAGTGAGTACCTTTTGTGATTTTTGGACCAACAAGTAGGTACCTATTTGACCTTCCGTCCTTTTTCCGTGTTTTTATATACAAACATTTAAAAAAATCTAAGCAACATGCAGCATTTATACAATCTGAAAGTTTAATCAGATGATATTTTATACTATTGGTATGAAATGATTAATTTATTCAAAAGTTTTCAGTTTGCTCAATAATAAATCTCATTAGTTATTATTAGCAATAAATAATATTAGTATTGAAAATATTAAAAACCGGTCAAAAGTTTGAAAAGTTCATGTTGCTAGACTCTTTTGATAAGTATATTTTGTCACTTTGGTCTTACCTATATTAACTGAAAAATAAGAGAAAGGAAGCTAAAATTTCCGTTTACTACCAGGACTTCAACGTGCTACAACTACAAAAAAAAACTGCTACGTCGTAGTTAAATGGATATTTCATTTATTATAGATTAAAGATTGTAATCTTCATGTAACTGCTAAAGTAGAGTTATATCTGTGATCCTTTTGTAGCACACACAAAACTAACATTAGCCTTTTTTTATATCTTACGATTCTAAGAAAGCGCAGAAGATTGTTTGAGAAGTCATAGTTATAAGATTTCATGTAACAGTTGTCTGGAAGCTATAGTCCGAAATCCTAAATATAGTAGGTAGCAATTAAGTGATACCAATTAGAGACTGCCTCTTCATAAGAGTGGCGGCCCAGTAACTTGACCCGAATCAACGAACAGATGAAACATTCAGCTGTTAACGAGTTTGTGTTTGACACCGAACACCTTCATTAATTTAGCACAAACCCGTCTTTTGGTTCTTAACGAAATCGGTGTTTGTATAAAATTTCTGAGACTTTTTTTCATAACACTAAATAAAGAACACTGAACATTTTTCAACACATACCACTTAATTACATCGGTAAAATTTTTTAAGATTTTTCGTTACAATGTGAATGACATTATTCAGCATTTATATAGGTATTGTGTTGTTTAATAAACGCCGTGCACTTGCAGTCACTGTAATATTTCCACCCATTACATCATTGAGCTCCATCGTCATTCGCTTGTCCTGTTCCCAATTTATTTGGGGCCGGCGCAATGTGTCTATCATTCGTCTACGACTCCTACCTATTTTAAAGAGCGTGTTGCCTTGCTTTGAAGAGCTTATTTACTGTTCCTCTATAGTTTTACATGTGCTACTGTTATTAATTATACAGAGGATCTCGATTGCATAAATGGTTAACGCGTTAGGTCTGCGAGAAGTTAAGCAACTTTCATAATGGCCTGGATAGAATTGATAGCAAAAATGTAGGTACGATCCCGAGCTTCAGAAGACACGTTAAACCAAGCCACATCTGCAGTCGTTACAAAACACCAATCCGCATTGTTCCCGCGTGGTGGGTCACAGCCAAATTTCTCTATTTAATCCATAGAGAAGGCATGTGCCCCAGCAGTGGTAGATCTGGCGAAGGTCGCGGGAAGCCGATGGATGCGCGTGGCACAGGACCAATTGATGTGGAGATACTTGGGGAAGGTCTATGCTCAGCAGTGCTTTCCTACGGCTGAGATGATGATAATGATGATGCGATATATCTGGTACAGTAGTTGTACCTTACCTTGCCGGCCTGCATGTTGCGTCTTCACGCCTCTTTTATGATGATAATCTATTGTTAACATGTTGTTCGTTTGTCTCAGGTACAGGCGGGAGGTACGGCGGGGAGGGCTACGGTGAGAGTTACGCGCCCGAGTACGGCGGCGCCTGCACCGAGTGGGCCGAGTGGCCGAGCGAGCAGCACCCCCTCATACCGCAGGACAAGCTCGCCTACCCCGCCTCCGGGCCCTGCTTTACCGGTACGTATCAACGGAACTACACACAAACACGAATCTTCTCCAACCTTTGTCTACCCACTGATGAGTATAGGTCTCCTCCATGGTGCGCCAGCTCGGTGTTGTGCGATCCGGATCCAGTTTCTTCCTGCTACTTTGGTGATGTTATCGGACCATCTGGCGGGGAATACAACCACTCACTGACTCGAATACCAACCACAAACATGAAAACTACCCACAGACACGGAAACTATTGCTTGAGTTAGAATTCGGTTTAGCATTTAAGAGTTGTTTACAATCTTAATTTAGATTAAATCTATGGATTGGCTCTATTAGCTCTATGGATCCGTATCTGATATAAAAGATGAGAAAAAAATTGACTGAAAGACAAATAGCCTTACCATAAAAAAGTTAGGCATTCAACACGAGTCTTAAAACGTCATACAAAAGCTTATTTTTAACGAAGGATTTCTTTATGATACTTGGTCCATGTATAAAGTCGTGTCTAACTTATTTGTCTCTGTCTCTCTCTCTGGGGTCGATCCCTCATATCTGAGGTTAGTGATCACCGTCCGGGTTGGTCAACTTTTTTATGGTACAACCCAAAATGTTAAGTAAGAATTCATCGTATATCGTAAAGCAACTGTGTGGCACGCTTGCAGGATCAGGCCCGATCCAACTGTGGCAGTTCCTGCTGGAGTTGCTCACCGACAAAAGCTGCCAGGGGTTCATCTCCTGGACGGGCGACGGGTGGGAGTTCAAGCTCACCGATCCAGATGAGGTATGTACTGACAATTTGCTAATTTTACTAAATCTTGTGCAGTGCGATAAGGGTCTTTATGAATATGAGCGACAGGGGAGGGCGCCTCTGTCTACGTAAATGACATTAAAATATGACGTTTACAAAGACGGCGGTGGTTAGTTCCAATTTTCGCCACATTCCTAAAGATCCTTGTCACACTATTAGCTATATAGCTAAAAGTTCGATCAAAAATACACAGTTAAACTTTCGCATAAGTGGAAAAAAGGGCCACTAGCACCAACATTCTTAAATCAAATTCAAGCCTGTTTAACACATCATTTCATATTTTTCAATTGAGATCTCAATATGATAATTTTTTTAATTTCATTTAAAGTTTTGGTGCAAGTGCATATAAATTCTTGTAGCACAAAGTTCGATCTTTAATACACAAGTTAACTTTCACATACCTTTGTAAAAACAAATACATTGTTTGAAAATCAGAAACCTTAGAAAGGGTTGTCCTGTTATTTCTGTAAAATTTCCTTCATAGAGTTTGTCCCATTTCCTGAAAAACTCGGAATAAAAAAACTAAGTTTCTGACGCTTTCCAAGGTGGCAAGACGCTGGGGAATCAGAAAGAACAAGCCCAAGATGAACTATGAGAAACTGTCGCGAGGTCTCCGCTACTACTACGACAAGAACATTATCCACAAGACTGCCGGTAAACGCTACGTCTACCGCTTCGTGTGCGACCTGCAAAGCTTGCTTGGGTGAGTTTTTTTTTTATGTGTAACATCTTTACCGCTTCGTGTGCGACCTGCAAAGCTTGCGTGGGTGAGTTTTTTTTAATGTGTAACATCTTTCCTCTCGCTTTCGTGCAATTTGTGGGAGTGATTACGTGAAGTGGGACGGAAGTGTGTAACAGGAAGTTTGGGAAGCGCGCGCTATTTGATTTGATTTTAGAACATAATGTTCAAATGGCTTATTCCTTTTGTAGTAGATTATTTCTTTTTTTACTAATATAAGGTGAGGTTTCAAATGTTACACATCATACGCGAAAACTGTAGGGCTCGCTTCTTTTTCTTATTATGCATAAGGGGGCATACGAGCTGTGATGGCGCATGTGGTTAGCGTGTTCGGCTGCGATCATTGAAGATAAGCAACTTTCGCAGTGGTCGGTCATTGGATGGGTGACCAAAAATTTACTATCTCCAGTTGCGGAAGCCGTTGATCCCGATTGCATCTGCAGTCGTTAGCACCCACTAATCCACATTGGACCCGCGTGGTGGGTCATAATGGCCTAATCTCCTTATTCTATTAATAGAGAAGGCCTTTGCCCTAACAGTGGAAACATTGAAAGGCTGATGATGATGAGCTGACAGCTCACCTGATGGTAAGTGATCACTGTCGCCTATAGACACCTGCAACACCAGGAGTGCCGAGATGCCGACCTAAAAAAAAGAAACACGCTCTTTTTTTGAAAGTTTTCGGGTGGTATTGGTCCGGAAATACTGCTGGTGACAATGTATTCCACCGTTTTGCCGCACGTCGTAAAAAATTTCGACAAAGTCGCTAGGTTGTGGATAGCCACGCATCAAGATGGTGGAAAGATCAACCTCATTATAAACCACAAAGCTACAATTCCTTCGATGTATCTTGACCTTTTCTCCAGAGGAAGGGAGATTAGACGATGTGATACGATTACGGAACTGTCAAAATTCGTGCTTGGACCTCTGGTTGTATCAGAATTTGTCATTTAATCGAAGGCGTCGTTCTTTTGTATTGTAACAATTTATACCGTGTTGTTAAATAGGTCAGCTCTTTTCCATATTGATGTAATACAACACGATTACCTACTTACTACAATTAATCATTTTTTTATCTGTTCCTTCGATATCTTCACCGATCTAAAGTTAGTTGCGCATTAAAAGAAAATCAATATCGTTTATTGAGGCTGTTACAAGCACTTATGAATATCGAAAAGCTACGCCATCAGTTCGCAAATCTACGGCGGGAGACCTTAAACTGAGAAGAACCGGCAAGAAACTCAGCAAGGGCTGTTTTTTTCTCCCTGTATTATATACAGAGTCGTCAAATTGAAAAACATACTTAAATATGAGATAACTCATGAAGTCACTTTCCATTTTATAAATGTAAATGATATAAAAATTATGACTAAAAAATTAAAAAAATATAAAATACTGATTTAACAAAGTTTAGGAATGCCGTGTCCTACTGTTTTATTTTAGACTTTTAGATTAGATTTTTACGATCTAAAGTCAGCCTATTAATGTCCCCAGAATAGTTATCTTTGGATAGCATAGAGAAAATGTGACCCCGCGGTCCGCGCGAACCTAGTGCAGATTGATGGGTGGCTTCGAGATTATTATTTCGAGATATTGATGACTTCCGTGGCCGAGTGGTATATACATATATATATATATATTGGTTTCAAGGTGTCGCCAACTCAGAGCTTCCGGGTTCGAGTCCCGGTGGAAGCAAATGTTAGTATGATGAATCATCATCATCATCATCATCAGCCTATTAATGTCCCAAATGCTGGGGCACCAGCCTTCCCTATGGATGGAATAGGGAGATTGGGCCATGACCCACCACGCGGGCCCAGTGCGGATTGGTGGGTGCTAACGACTGCAGATGCAGCCGGGACCAACGGCTTAGCGTGCCTTCCGAAGCACGGAGGAGCTCGAGGTAGTAATTTTTGGTCACCCATCCAATGACCGACCACTGCGAAAGTTGCTTAAGTTCAACGATCGCAGCCGAACGCGCTAATCACTTGCGCCATCGAGCTCCACCTAATTAGGGTATGGGATATTAATCCCACAACACAAGCATTACAGTGCTTATTTTGGGGCTAGGTCAATTGGTGTGTGTAGGAATATGTATTTATATATTAATAGTATTTTTTAGCAATCCATCATACGATGACCGGCTTCATCAATGACGAATGTTGCTTGACTTCAACGATCGCTGACTGAACCTATGAATTATATACAGCTTACGGGCTTTCCTTTAATGTTTTGCCACTTATGTGTTTCTAAAAATAGTTGCACACTTGCCTTCCCTTTGTTACCTCATCTTACACATTTAGTAAATATCTGTAGTAATAGAAAAGCGTCCTTGATAATATTTTTATTTTATTGCAGAATATCTCCAGAGCAACTTCATGCAATGTATGAACCCAAAATGGAAAAGAAGGACGATGACTGAATTCGATTCCCGCGCACTCAACCGCGACCCGCCTCGCCTCGCGGCGGCCATCGCTTCATCATCTCCCACACGAACGTACTAAATTCAAATGTTGTTCTAAATACAAATTTCAAAAATTTTGAATCTTCTTTTTTAAGAAAAACAAAAAGTATTACCATGAATCATGTTCACAGGCACATTACAGAGTATATTTAAAAAATAAAAAAAAGGTTTTGTATTGAAAATTAAAAAACAAATATTTTATACAGTACGTTTTGTTTACAGTAGACGTTCGTCAGACGATAAGTTAATAAGTTTTCATTGTAACTTAAATTGCATACATTAAAAGTTTTGTACGTTTCATTCTATTTAAATTGTAATCTTTCACATAGGGAGTAATGTCGGATTTGATCTCATACACAACCACCAGTGGTTTTTTTTCTCTTATTAACAACTAACCCCGTACTAAAGGTTCTATTTCGATTCTATGATGCGAGTGATAAAGCGAAATCAACTTGTCGAAGACAGAAACAAAAAAAGTCTCTAGTAAAAGAACATTAAGAATGCTCTAGAAAATCACTCGTTTTTATATCGCTTTACGCCTCAATTGTATTACTAAGTACCACAAAAACCAACGGTGCCTTAAATTCGTAAATATAATTATGCAGTTTTTGCAGAAACATTCATTTCAATCATTGATATGTTATAAGCGCCAGTATTAATGAGGCACTTCGTCTATTTCTAATGTAATGATATTAATGTATAACGAATTTTAGTCAAGTACTAAAAAGAGTACAGCTATTATAATATATTCGTATACCTTCTGAAATTAAAATAAAATCAAAGTCAAAGTCGAAACTGAGAAGTTTAATGGTAAAAATAGAAAATTTCTGCTATAATTTTAACGATAAATGTAAATATAAGTTAATTTTGTTACTTTATAAAAATAATTAGGTATTATATTATAATAGATTAAGTGTTGTATGTTTGATTCGCAAATTGTTGCAATATGCGGTTAAAATAATGCATAGTTAAAATGATGACACAGAAATAGAACGACTTATAAATTAACTGACATTCGATTATCCAAAGATTTTTATAAATCTTTAAATTTATACTCACCAATTTGGTAAGAGTTTTTCAAAATTACCAAAGGGACTCTTCTCGATTTTTAATTTATTCCATATTTTTTAAATTTAATTGAAATTTTATAGTCAATCTGAATAAAATCAGCCTCTGCCGTAAAAAAACTTAATGAAGTTTCTTTTTATTTTACCAAACTTTGTATCAAACTAAACAATGTTCTAAAGCATAAACCGGGTGACGTCACTTGTTGCTGATCTCGTGGTAAGGGATAATGTCTTACTAGTTATGAAATTAATTAGTTGTATTATTTTCAATTTTTATAGATCCTAGCATACACCGAAGATATTTCGATAAGTTTTATTTTGTAAAGGTATTCTCCTCCATCAATATCATACTTTTTATGTCATGTGCAATTCGGTCTGTGGATTAATGTTCTTTTGAGGTGCTGTTTTGCTTCTAAAGTTTCGAGATGTGTTTACCTACTAAAACGATGTCTTCCCCGTGTTATCAATGTGTAGGTCGGTAATAGTAATTTACAATTAGAATGCATTATTTAATTGGTGTGATTACGGTTGAGTCGCAGTTACAATGTGTATCAGTCCCTGTTCGCCACGACAAATGTATGCCATTTTATAGTGAGACCTATTGGAATTACGGCCAAATATTTGAATGTATAAGTGTCGTTGTATGTATTGATGGAAGATATAAATTTAAATATATATATTTACGAAATCAATTATGTTTTTTTCTTCAGCCACCCGCTTGAATAACTAAGTACTTCCTATTCAAAAACTTGTGGAATATTATGTACGCCTTTATCCTTTGGAGGAGTATTTTTTTAGTAAATAAGAACCTCTACAGAGTTGCCTGAATAAAGGAGACAGAGATTCATGGCTGCATCTCAATAAAATAGATAATGGTGTCCATTCTAGCATGATTCACTAAACCTAAACTTAAATATGACAACAGTGTATCTTTGTCATTCTTTACACAGAATGAAAAGGATATACTGATGTTAAATTTAGTTTTCAGTTTAGAGAATCATGCCAGAATTGACACCACTATATTGTTACACAAGTAAAATTAAATATGTCCATGTCCAGTATTGTGGACTAACTGGTCTTTATTTTTCTGTCACCAGAATATATGAAACTTAACCTAAGTGGGTCAGGCCGTAGATTTTGCCACAAATAGCGCAATGGTGTCGCAAAAATTTCTACGAGTCCATAGCGCAGAGTGACGCAAAATGGTAACGCAAAATTGTTAAGGAGTGCATACAAGATATGTAACGTAAGGGCAGTGCTACAAAATAAAACACACTTTTAATACGTAAGTATGACAAACGTCAACTTTTACTCTTATCTTTAAGTCTTAAAAGGTGTTACAAAAAAGCGGAGAGTTCTATTGCTAGACATACAATTCCTTCACAGGAACTAAAATCGAAACCTCAAAAAAAAACACAAATATTACAAAAGCTAAAAAAACACCTGCAAGCCTATGTGTGTAAGCTCCTTTATTTGGTAGCGTAAAATTAGTAGCGCAAATTGTACGCCCCTGGTATCGCAAAGTTGCATAAAGTCATTTTTGCGCAACTGTTGCGCAAACAAAACCATTATAACTTGATAAATAAGCTATTTTTTAATGTAAATTAAGCCTTGAAAGATTTCAAACATTTCATTAAATCGTGCGCAATAATAAGTATAGATATAAATCAAAAACTTACCGTGATATATCAAAAAAAAAACACTCTCCGCAAAAAATATGACACTTCCTTCTTTCAAACGATGTTGATGTTGGACCAGTGTTGCCAGGTCCGATTTTCAAAAATCGGGAGGCGTTATAGAAAAAAACAGTAGATGTATGGAAACAGCTACAAGAAACACAGTAGATGCAGAGGTGTACTTATTCCGGCTTGCACCCCCCCCCCCCCCACCTAGAATTGGTAAATCAAATCAAGATAAAGACCAGTGACGAATGTGTTTCTGTGGCTTCTGCCGCCCCTCAAAGCTATTTTTTTTCTTTAGACAATTCCATTTATTTTATAATTATTAAGGTTATCTACATTATTAATGACGAAAAATGCAACTCAACATGCAATTTAAAAAAGAAAATCGTATTCTAAAAAAACAGGAGATTAATGTAGAAAAACAGTAGAAGAGGAGAAATTTCAGAAAAACAGGAGAGACCTGGGAACACTGTGTTGGACTGAAAAAAATATGACCGCTGACAGCGTATTGACCATAGACAAAGTATGTTCGGTGTTGCCACTACTCAGACTTGAATACTGCTATTTTTTAAACACAACCAAATGGGCATTTATTAGTTGCGCAATAAAAAGTAGCGCAAAGGAATGGATTTGAACGTTTTTCGAAAATGAGTGAAAATTTATGAATTTTCTTAGGTAATAGGAAACGATATTTAAAATGTGGCTAGCTAACTATTATTGTATAGCGTAAAAGCAAACAGACTACCAAAAAGATTTTTATTTTTGATTTTACTGATGCTCAAAGTGCACCTCTACCGGAACGGATAAGCGTATTTTACGAAAAATTCATCGCTTTTTGTAGCAAAATATTTTATAAATTTCTAAGGTTTTGAAGATATTTAAATATATTTATTGATCGCGATTCACCATTTGTGAGGAAATATGATTCTGTTATTGAAAAAAATGTAATTACCGTACTTTTTTTTTAAATGTGGCGGAGAGTTATGTTATAAGTTATAACTAATGTGGCAAAATTTACGGCCTGACCCAAGTTTAAATCTAAATAATATTTTACTACGAAAAAGTCCACTCGGTCCAGTAATATCCAGTAACGTCTGAAACATATACCGAGTGTTTCTTTTTCTATTAAAATTTTATTTGCATGAGCATCTATCGGTAAATGCTTAATATAAAAATATTATGAGCCAAGTTTTATCGAATGAGAAACAACATCTTAATATATTATTACTACCCAGACTCGAGAAAATAAAGAAGTTAGACTATAAATAACGAGTCGAAAACGGAACCTCCATTCCGAATAACACTAAATATGGAAAAATAAAATAATTTTAATAAAAAAATAAAGTAACTGAAAAATAAAAAAAAACGGCCAAGTGCGAGTCGGACTCGCGCACCGTGGGTTCCGTACAAACCTGTGGATATATAAGTAAAAGTTAACCCATTTAACATAAAAGTTTGATTTTATTACAGCATAAAGGTATTATAGACCTGCATATTTGATATGAATTTCAATTTAATACCTCTATGCGTTCATGAGAAATTCAAAAAATATAATTTATTAAATTTTTCCTTTATCTGTACTATAATACGTTACGTCGTACCAAATTTCAAGATTCTAAGTTTACGGGAAGTACCCTGTAGGTTTTGATTCCCGTGCGAGTTACAGAAAGGACATGGAAAACGGTGGGCCCAAATGTAATAAGTTGAGATATAATCTAAAAAATTAGTCATATTTTTTTATCTAAGAATATGAAAAATCACTTCAATTCTCGATCTGAAAGCGGAGAAATATGAGAAAGATAGCTTTCGTGAGATTTTATCGATTCAAAAATTAATTAAAAATAAATTCGATCGAAAATAAACCTTTCGCACTAAACATTTAACTCAAAGTAATCAAATGTACTATATACTTATATGCAATATAGTGCTTATTATCAATAAATCAAATATCAATTAATTACTGAAAAAAAAATGTGTGTGTCAGCTCCGACGCACGACTGGAGTTTACTCCTTAAGTTCGATAGTCTAACCAGACGCAAAAAGAGTTTATTTAACTTAAAAAAGATTGATACTGTATGAAAGGGTAAATTAACAAATTAACGAAAATAATATACATATATGAATATATATTTATGCATTTCATATACATTTATTATAACTAATCGACGAAATATTTTACATTAAACTTTTTACAATAGTCAATTTCAGATGTGCATAAATATATCATTAGGAATGTTGATAAATTATGTAATTATTATTATCAGACTATTATATTTTTTTTAAATAATAATTAAATCAACATTGTCTGCATTAGTAATTAGGTACAGTGACAAGTGGTTTATGGTAACTAAAATAAGACACATGGACGTTCGTAGATACGTGGTTCACGAATCTTGAAAATACCGCATCAATGGTTGTACCTCGTTGTCCCCATTGCTCTATCAGAAACAATATCTAAATTCAGTTCAGATTTTAAAAATTTATTAATGTCAATCCGTCATCTTTGTTTGTCAAAGTTGCGCGACATAGGATGCGCACCAAAAACGTAACGAGGTCATTCATCGATAGATTTTACTCCTCACATTTTTCTCATACCGGGCCCCTTATATATGCAAATCGATTCTTAAGGAGTAAACTCCAAAAACCAATAATAATGTTTATCGATTTCATATCGATTCAAATCGCTCTTATATGTCACTGACATTGACACTAGACAGTTGCCGACTGCTCTTGATTGCTCACTCGTTTCGTGTTTTCCGATGCGTTTTGAGTGTTTTCCAGATTGTTCGTTATGAGGGGTCCTCCCTAACACTTATTCCCCTGAAATTCCACTACATTTAACGGATTTAATGAATTTTAGGTTAGGTTAATTAAAAAATACGCATTTCCGCCAAAAATCTTTAGTGGGGGGGAATCGGGGTGAGCCCCCCTCACCCTCCCCACCAAACTACCCCGAAATTCAAACACAACTAATGGAATTAAGTACCCACGATCCCTTCCCCTCATGTCGCTTTGCTATTCACATCTTGCTCAACGATACTTGTAAAAATAATTGAAGGTAACTTACTAACCACCTGAATGTTATGTTAATATGATATTGAATCGTATTTGTACTTAGCACACTGGACAAATCCTTGCGATTTATGCCGTGCTTTTAGCTATGTAATTGTTATTTTTGATATGAAATAAATAAATAAAACTTAAATCTATTTATTTGCGGTAAGGATGCGAGGAGTACCTTATTGCATTGATTTTATTTAAAACACATTCTAATGTAAAAAGAAAGGACGTTTAATACAAAAATAAGACGATGGCTGCATGGCTTTGCCTTTCCCAATAACAAAGAATAGAACTAAAAAAAAATACAAGTTTTATGGCGGGATTTCATCGAATGCAATTGGCATTTTATTTTTAATTATTCTTTAATTCGTTCATCGTGGATATTGTGAAATAAAATTGGTATGATTTTGTGTTACAACAGTCTGTACAATTAAAAAATTAGTGGGATTCTTCAAATATACGCTATTCCGGTCGAGTGGATGTGAGAACTTTATTGTAGTGTTAACTACCTCACAGAAACTTATCGAGAAAGCTGACTCGATACATTTCGTGCCAAACACTCCAAGAAACATTAGAATGTGTCACACCCATCTTCTAATGTAAAAAAAGGGTGATTAATACAAAAATAAGACGATGGCCGCATGGCTTTGCCTTTTCCAATAGGGAAGAATAGAACTAAAAAAAACGACAACTTTGAGAAAGAAAAGTTAACAGACAGGACTGTATGGACTCAGAATCCTTTGCCTGTCCCAACAGGGACAAATTCACCACAAAAAAAAAGGACAATGTCACTGTCATTCGATCGCTACATTTTATATTTTGTAGGTTTTTTCGGCGGGAACCTTCGAAGAGGAAAGGCGCGCTTTGAAGATTTTTTTTGCATTAATTTTAATTTTCTCTTTTTTTTGTGTATTCTTGTATAGTTTTATGTAAATAGTGTTTCAATTCAAATATAGGTATATAGAAGTTAAATGGCTAGTACGAAAAAGCGGAAAAAAGACCTTGGGGGTGGCGATGATAGTCGTCGTTCTTCGGACGATGAGTCTGAGACCTCTCAGAAATTCAAGATTTTTAAAGTAACTGGGTATCAAAGGAAATATCCTGAAAATGCAGATAAAACAGAGTTTGTTGTGTTTTTGTCTCACAAAACTCACGATACGCCATTTACGGACAAAGACAGAATAAAAATTTCAAAAGCCATCCGAACACATTGCGTGTCCGGTGTTTTACATTTAAGGCCGGTTAATCGGTATAAAGTCGGCATAACGTTCGATCTTTCGAACAATGCCAATGTTTTTTTACAAAATGCTAAACTTTTGGAAGAGTTGGACGTAGTGGCCACCATTCCAGCAAAGGACACTGAAGTAACCGGTGTGCTAAAATCTGTCCCTACCGAATTGTCAAATAAAAACATTTTCTCTTTGATAGGTAGCTCCAAAAACATTATACAAGTCCGGCGGTTCATGCGGCGTGTGCGGGGGGATGCTGGTGCAGTCTCGTACCAGCCCACGCAAACAGTCGCAGTAACGTTTGCCTCTACTCAGTTGCCAGAATACGTATATCTAGACCATTGGAGACACGAGGTCAGTCCATACGTTCCACCCGTTAAGCAGTGCCTACGTTGCATGCGTTTCGGTCACATTGCTAAGTTTTGTCGCAATAATGAAGTCTGTTCAATTTGTTCGACAAATCATAATTATAAATCTTGTACTGTTGATATAGAAAAAGCAAAGTGCACTAACTGTGGAGGTAATCACGTAGCCATCTCATCCTCTTGTCCAATTAAAAAGCAACAGATCGAAGACAACAAAATTAAAAGTAGAGCTGTGCAGTATTCAGAACTGTTTAATGAAAAATCATTTCCCAAACTTGCCGAAAAATCGATAGAAACACATTTAAATAATTTATCAAAATCAGACTTATTTATGAATTTATTAGTAGAAACAATAATGAATATAGTATCTAATAAGAATGTACCTATAAATAGTAATACTATAAAAGAAAATTTACATAATACATTCAGAAAAATACCTTCCAAAAATAAAAATGGCTAACTTAAATATTGTACAATGGAATGCTCAGAGTTTAGTAAGCAGTAGGCTCATATTTACAAATTTTCTTTATGAACACAACATTCATTTAGCATTAATATCAGAAACTTGGCTAAGACCGAATCAACAATTCAAAATAAAAGGTTACAACATAGAAAGAAATGATTCTGATAATATACATAATGGAGTTGCAATATTAATTCGCAATAACATTGTTTATACTAAAATCAATACAAATTTTGATAATACTTTGCAAAATATTTGTATTCGTATTACAATAAGAAATAAAGATATATCAATTGTTAGCTTTTACAGTCCTCCAAATACTAATCCTGCCTTTAGTAAAAGCAAATTAGATTCTCTTATAAAATCTATCCCTGGTCCGATGATTTTTGCAGGTGATTTTAATGGTCATCACTCTTCTTGGGGCTGTAATTCCACAAATCCTCGTGGTCGAGATATTCTGGATATCATTGATGAAAATAACTTGATTCTTCTTAATGATGGGCAACCAACCACAGTTGGCTCTTTAACTTGGCGGCCCAATGCTCTAGATTTGACCATAGTTAGTCCTTCTTTGGCTTTATCTTGTGAATGGTCTGTTCATGATGATCCTCTCGGCAGTTATCATCTACCTGTAAAAACAAATATTAGTCTCAATGTCAACAACCAACAAGATTGTAATAACAATAATGTCATGGATGATAAGGTCACTTTTCCAATATTCAAAAATTTTAAACTGGTTGATTGGAAAATGTATCAATGTAAAGTTGAAAGTCTTTTATCTGAGTTTTGTGTTCAATCATACACCCCATTGGAGGCTTATACACTATTTTGTGAAATTCTTTATTCAGCCACAGAGTCTTTAACCCCTACCAAATTAAAATCCAACTCTACCAACAGAAAAACTGGCAAAAGACTCTCATTACCTTGGTGGAATAATAATTGTTCAGTTGCTGTGAGTAATTCTAAACAAGCATATATTACATTTAAAAATAATCCATCAGAAACAACCTATTTGGAATTTAAAAGGTTGCAAGCTTTAAAAAAACTCACCCTTAAAACTGAAAGATCAAAAAGCTGGGCTGATTTGTGTAGTTCATTCAATCGTTGTACCCCTCTTACTGTAATCTGGAAATATATGCGTAAATTCAATAAATCTTTTATTTTAAGTCATCCAGACTGTGACAGCTGGGTTTTACCTTTTCTTAAGAAATATACTCCTGATTATGTACCTACTCATCAGGACTGTTCCTACAATAGATCTCAATCAAATTCCACCAACCTCTTTTTAATAAAACCATTTACAATAACAGAATTGAAAAACGCAGTCTCCTCCAGAAGAGAACGTGCATTTGGATTGGATGGTATCCCTTATAAAATGTTGAAAACTCTTAGTGATTCTAGTTTGCAGATATTTTTGAAGGTTTTAAATCATCTTTGGGAAAACAATGACATACCACCTTGTTGGAAAATAGATTGCTTGGTTCCTATTTTAAAGCCTAATAAGCCTAAATTGGATAAAGATTCTTATCGCCCTATTGCACTAACTTCATGTGTAGGAAAAATTTTTGAACAACTACTAAAGCAAAGATTGGAGTTCTATGTGGAAAAAAATGGCATTTTACCTTCGAATCAGTTTGGATTTAGAAGAGGTCGCTCATCTCGTGAAAGTATCTGCCAATTACAACTTGACATCCAAAATTGTCTAGTAAAAAATCAAACTATGGTGTCTGTATTCTTTGATGTTGCGGGAGCTTTTAACAGTGTCAATGTTGATGTGCTTTCTAATGAGTTAACTTCAGTGGGTATACCACCAAAACTTGTTCATTGGGTCCAAAAGTTCTTGTCTGAAAGAAAAGTTTTTGTTAAGAATAATGGTTACCTATATGGCCCACGGTTGGCTTCTGTTGGTGTCTGTCAGGGAGGAATTTTATCTCCTCTTGTTTTTATATTATATATCCGACGTCTCAACTTAATTCTGGGTGGACATGTCAAAAATTTACAGTTTGCTGATGACTTGGTAGTATATGCTTCCGATCATAAAATTACAAATTTAGTAAATAAAATTAATAGTGCCTTATTTAATCTTAATCAATATTTTACATACTTAAATCTTGATATTAACCCATTAAAATCAAAACTGCTTGTATTTGGGAAAAATAGATCTTTGATGCCTACTGTTTACTATAACAATGTTGCTATTCCAGTTTCATTAGACACAAAGTTTTTGGGTGTTTTAATAACTCACAACTTATCTTGGAAAAAATATACTGAACACATAACAACTAGGGCTAACAAAGCTTTAAACATATTAAAATCTTTAGTTTCTACATATTGGGGAGCTGATCCTAAGATCTTGTTGTTACTGTATAAGTCTTTGATTCGCAGCCATTTTGAGTATGCTTTTTTTTGTTTTGCTCATGACAACAAAATTGTAGATATCCTAGACAAAATTCAAAATAAAAGTATGCGTTTGATAACTGGTGCTTTCAAAAGCACTCCCATTAATGTTATGCAAATTGAGTGTAATCTTTCTCCCATTTCAATAAGATTTAGTTACTTAAAGGAAAGATTCCTTTTGAAGCTATTCTCAATAAACAATAATCAACTTTTAAAAAATATTTCATATTTATCACAATCACTGGCAGGTAGGCCTTTGTATATCATGCAAGGATTTCCTCAGTTCACTCAGTTTCTCGAAAATTCCAACATTTATAAGCCTTCAATCTTACCATGCTATGAAGGGCATTTTGAGAGCAAATTTCCATCAATTGACATAAATATCTACAAGGAGCTTTCTACTAAAGAGGAGGTGTTTGGTGAACTATCAAATTGGGTTGATCATAAACATATTTATACAGATGGCTCAAAAAATGATTCAAGTGCATCTTTTTCTTTTTACGTTAGCTCTATAAAATCTGGTTTAGGTTACAAGATAGACAAAAATTCCTCTGTATTCACTGCAGAAGCTCTAGCAATTTTGGCTGCTCTGAAACACATAAAACATCAAAATCAAGGACATAAAAAATGGCTAATACTTAGTGATAGCATGAGTGTGCTCAAAAACTTAGAAAACAATAAATTAAGTGCAAACACCAATTACATTATTCATGCTATTAAAGAAGTCTGGTATGATCTATACAATGTTGATAATATAATTGTAAGTTTCATGTGGGTTCCGTCTCACATTGGTGTAACAGGTAATGAAAATGCAGATTATCTAGCAAAATCTATCAATACTCTAGCTACTGAAACCAATACTCAGAAGATGTCTATACCTTATACAGATTTGATTGTTCTGCTAAAGGAAAGAATGCACCAAGAGTGGCGAGCCCATTGGAATTGTATAGTACAGGTTAAAGGTAAAGGTCTATGGTACACACCTCTTTATGTTGATGTAAACAAATTGCCATGGTTCTGCAAATCAAATAGCTTTTTGAATAGAAAATTCTATACGACGATTTTTCGCTTAAGGTTTGGTCATTGTCGGCTTAATTTCCATCTCTTTCGGTTGCAAATGGTGAATAATGCTCAATGTACTCATTGCAATTCCCAAGAAGAAACCCTAGCTCACATTTTCTTTGACTGCCCATCCTTCGGCATTCAGCGCCTTGTGTTGTTGGATGAGCTAATCCAAATTTATGGCAAACATGATTTGGTCCCGCGTTCCTTGACCGATCTTCTTGTAAATAATTGTACATACGTTCCTCTGTATAATTTCATTGCAAACACTGTTGAAGAAATATAAATATTCTGTAATATCGTTGTGTATTAGATTTTAAGGTTAAATGTTCTGCATACACAAAACGCTCAGTTAAGTTTAATAGGTACCGCATGTTCTCTTTCCTTTTATTTGTTTGAAAAAAATGTTTATTTTCGTAATTTTGCTTGTAGGTATTCTTTTTCGTTTAGGTCGTCGGTTTGAAACAAGTTTGAAACGTATCAAATGTCGTTGTTTTAAGTTTGTTTTTTCTTTTCTTAAGTTTTGTATTAGGATTAAGGTATTGCATGGTATTGGTCTATGATTTATTTTTTGTGTAAATGTGTACTATAAAAAAGATATTAAATAAATATGAAATTCATATAGGATGTAATTAATTCATGATTGGACTGTCTAGTAAGAGAAAAAATTAAATGTTTGGTGTTTAAGATGTTCAATGTGCTCGGAAAAAAGCACATAATAATAGAGTAAAACAAAAAACTAGAAAATATACCGGAAATTATCAAACTGAGGAAGTTATATTGAATTTTAATAATAAAAAGAAGAAAAATAACTAATGACGAGGCAGTATGGTCCCAGACCTTAGCCTGTCCGAAAGGACAAACGAAAAAAAAAAAAAAAAAATTATATTTTGTAGGTTATTTAGTATAAAAAAAAGACTCTTCTGACTGTAATTTACTAAATAAAACAGTTTTATCATTTATTAAATAAAAATGAAACTTACTCAAGTCTTGAATAGACAACATATTGGTTTTATGTTTAAGAAACACTGGTTGGTGCAAGGTAAACGAGTACCAATAGATACTGGTGTTGAAGATTATTTAAAAGCAAAAGGTATTCCTGTTGAGGATGCTTTAGAATTTGTGTCCGAAAAGCCGAAACCCCATGGAAGGTACAATTAATCTCACCACAACAATTTAATAAAAATTAATGTATAAACACCCAACAGTGTTTGTTCAATAACTGCACCTACTTAAAAGACAAGTTTGTTTCAGAGTAAATGTTGTAGGTTATTATGAACAACCCTTACCATTAGACGAGAACCACCCAGAATATAAAGAAAAGCCTTGTTACACCCTTAAAAGTACAAATGTTCTATTGGAAGGAATATCCCAAGCTCAAGTCCTAACCAAGACAATTATAGCTGAAAATAAACTGCCTCCAAAGATAGAGGAACTTGCTGAAATAGCAGCACCCAAAGCTATTCATGAAAATGTTAAAAAAGCTATCTTGTCTGCAAACATATTTGATTGTGAACAGAAAAAATTGCCTAAAATTAAGGATCCAGAAAGGCCAGCATACAATTTTCGTCGTATTCTAGGCATAACAGACCGGAGACGGAAGTATGTGACTAACAGTGTATTTCTTTTTAAGTATTTTCCTGTTTTAGCAAAAATTGCATAAGATTTGTAAATTTGTAGATTTTTTTATTGGATATATGTTCTTTTTATTTATTATTACATATTAACTTTCAAAACTGTTTTAGTGAAATACTTACCAATAGGCTACTCCAACTGATAGAAAAGAGCAGTGACACAGAAGTCACACAAACAAAGTATGTTTTAAACAATGTGAAGAGTCAAGCCACATTTGATAAGGATGATGAATTGTTCCAGTTTCATGAAGTTTCAAATATACTTGTCACCAGCAATAGGCCTGTTAAGCATGACACTGAGAAAAACATACCATTTGTTGAAATCCCTAACTTGTATCCAATAAAACATACTGTCACCCTCTCTCAAGAGCACTTTTATAATGAAAGTAGTAAATACCGTAAGTAATTTTTGAATGACATTTTGTCTTTTTATTTGTGCTTTTATTATTATATAGTCAAAGGCCTAAAAGCACATTGAATAAATGGTTACAGTTATTATTATTTTTTGTTTCTAATTTGATAGAACAATTGCTTTTTATGGATCCAAGATAAAATTCAGTCTTATCAAAGAAATTTAGCATAAAAGTCCCTAAATGGTCTGTGTGTACTTATAGTAAATATGATATTTTATTTGTTTAAAGCAATAAAAACAAGTGTAGCCATGAAACACCCTCACACAACATGGTTGCATTTCAACAATACAGAAGTGTCCAACATTTATGAGACGCCTGTCACTCCCATGCAAATTCTTGGCCGGTCTCTGACACATGCCTTTGGAGTTGCCACATCTTATGCAAAACAGTTATATGGAGTAAGTTTATCATACAATCATTTTCAACATTAACATTAATTTTTATAAATATATGAAAAAGTAACTGATGTATGCTTATTTAATGAAATTTTTCAGGAGGATGTAAAGGACTTGCCAGAACCAGTCCACATTAACTGCATAGAAACGGATGGGCAAAGGTTTCATTTTGGTGTTCTGGAACTTAACACTTTGAATGTTGATGGCAATGAAGGCACAAAGAATGTATGGTACTGCAAAAATGACATGAAGATGTATGACTCAAGTTGTTACCTCAGTGGCATACCAGTGTTAGAAAACTATAATCCTGAAGTGTATGGATACATCAATGCTTTTTATAATTGTTAAGTCTAGTGTAAATCTGTGTTATAGTTTAGTATATTAAAAAAATATACCATTTTATATACAATCACTTTTATTTACAAGTTTCGGAATGACAATTTTAAGTTACCATTTGGTTTATCAATTGTTTCTTAACTAAATAGATTTCTTCAAAAGCTTCGTTTCCATTATGTATTACTATCTACATTTTATGAAAGAACCAGTTCTGCATAATGGAAATGCAAATAAGTCAAGTAAAAGTTATCAAAGTTCAGAAATTATTAAAAGGAAATAATAATTATAGAAAAGTTAAGGAAATAATTATAAATTCACTAAATACTAAGGCAAAACAAAGTAACAGTAAAAGAAATTAAGACATCACTGTTATGTATTCATGTATATATCGCATTATATTTACAAGAACATAAATACATATATTTTTTAAATATAAGAATACACAATGCTTACACATACCGGAACACTTTGTACATTAAATAATAGTAAGTAAGGGAATCGAAACAATATATTTTATCAACGAGCTCATTTGTCCATAGTGAATTTTTGCAGTCGACGTCTCCTCAGCTCCTCTGCATCAGTGTCAGTCTTGTCTCTGTATAAAAGAATAGTACTTTTTTAAACTGACTGATAGAATAAAGTGTAGATAAATTGGTACAATCATTTGATGTTATATGGATAAGCCCAAAGCATTGTACTGCATGTAATTCACACACTGGCAAGTTCTTAGCACTGGTAGTATCGTATGACAAGCAATATAATAGTATAAGATCCCAAGACTGCCAGACCTTACTTTTTTTCTCAGAGACAAAATATTGAGAAACAAGTAGTATTAGTGTGTACAATGAATGCAAACTTTTGACCTAACTTACAGTCTGGGGACTGATTCCTACGTATATTGTAGACAATATTGTAAAAAAAGAAAATGCATACACATTCTGTCAGCAGTTTTTATAGCCAGGCACATTAAATGTCGAAAACAACAAAAACTTCATCATCAAGAGACCAGTCAAAAGAAGACCCGGTTCGGGAAGAAAAAGATGCACAGAACCAAGAGTTGACCGCTTTTTGGTGATTCTGATGTTGCGGAATCGTAAGCCATCAAGTGTGGACTTAAGCCTTGAAGATGTAAGAGGAGTATAAGTTAGCTTGTAGATGGTCAGGAAGAGGCTTTTGACTGCCAATATGAGGAGTTACTGCCCGGCCTGGAGCCCTAAATTACTCCGTGAGCACCGTGTTGCTCGACTTCAGTTTGCTCGAAACTGTGCTTCATGAACTCTGGAGGACTGGAATAAAGTATTGTTTGCTGGTGCTGGTGGTAGAATCTCCTTGTCCTGCGAAGACCACGGGAATGCTATGCGGAAGTGTGTTTCGAAGAAATTACTTTCTATGGCAGAGGTTCCGTTATGTTTTAGGCAGCAATTAATTCATAATCAAAATCATTTATTCAGTTTAGGCTGTTACAAGCACATATGAATGTCTAGAAGCTATGCCATTGGTTCGTAAATCTACGGCGGGAGACCTTGTACTGAGAAGAACCGGCAAGAAACTCAGCAAGGGCTGTTTTTTTCTCCCTGTTTTATCATTTACAGAGTCGTCAAGTTGAAAAATGACTTCAGAGATGATTCATGAAGTCACCCTTTATTACATAATGTGAAATTATACATTAATTGTTCACCTGCATTTTGATTGCTGTGTCACACAGTATAAATACAAACAGAGTTATTTATAATAGGTGTAATTAAAAATTTACATCTTAAATATCAAAGTAGTTAGGGCAGACTCATCTCCGCTGGCAGCACCCGTTCACGAGCATGACGCATGAACCAGCCATCGCTTTGCTCAACCATATTTTAGGGAACGTAACGACCCGCCTCACACGACACCACCGAAGAGACTTTTAAGAGAGCATGACTACCCATAACCACCTATATCAACCACACCATATTTACTTAAACTTTTATCTGTAGGACACTGCAAACAATTACAAAGCAAAAACAATGGAGAAATCATGACCACGCCGTTTTGTCATTCAAATCTTCTTAAATAATCTGATATTCTTCCTTACGTAATCAGCTTTAAATACAGCTTTTCAATAGAAGTATCATCAACACATGATTCATAATATATATCATATAGAAATACCCGTTGGAATGGTTGGAACAGTTCAAACCCAAGCATTTTTGTCTGTAATATAATCAGACACTTTATAATAAGCATTCTTAATAAGTTTTTTAATAGTCGATTTAAATTTAGTCAGGCTCAACTCTTGGATATTGCTTGGGACTTTATTGTAAAAGCGAACACAGAGGCCTCTAAACGAATTATTAATTTTGTGGAGCCTAGTAGCAGGTAAAGTTAACTTATTTTTACTTCTAGTATTAAGTGTATGTATTTCACTATTTTTAGTAAATAAACTAATATTTTTTTTGACATATACTAAATTTTCATATATGTATTGTGATGCAACCTTCATTATGCCTATTTCTTTAAACTTATTTCTTAAGGAGTCCTTTACTTTAAGATTATAAATTGATCGAATAGCCCGCTTCTGCAACACAAATATTGTTTGAATGTCGGCGGCATTTCCCCACAGTAAAATACCGTAAGACATTACACTATGAAAATAACTAAAATAGACTGATCTGGCAGTTTCTATATCCGTTAACTGACGTATTTTCATTACAGCATATGCTGCAGAGCTAAGTCTCTTCGACAATTTATCAATATGTGGGCCCCATTGCAACTTTGAATCTAGTGTGATTCCTAAGAACACTGTGGTATCTACAAGTGGCTCACATTTCGATCCTTTATATTTACATTCGTTTTTACCTGTTTAACATTAGGTAAAACAAATTTCAAACACTTAGTTTTCCCTTCATTTAGCAGTAAATTATTAACGTTAAACCAGTGGACTACCTTAGAAATAGACTTGTTCACGTCGTCAATTTGCGACTGCCTACGTTTAATTTTAAACAAAAGTTAAGTGTCATCCGCGAACAATACTATTTCATGGTTATCCTTTACAAAATAAGGCAAATCATTGATATAAATTAAAAATAAGAAAGGACCCAGGATTGAGCCCTGCGGAACTCCCATCTTAACCGACGAACCAGGAGATTTTTCTCCATTGATGTCAATTCACTGAACCCTATCACTCAAATATGATACAATAAGATCCAGAGTGGTATCTCTAAATCCATAGTGCTGTAGTTTCCTGATCAATGTTTCATGAAAAACGCAATCGAATGCCTTTGATAAGTCGCAAAACACACCAAGTGCATCATGCGAGTTCTTCCAGGCATCAAAAATTTGTTGTACAAGCTCAACACCGACATCGGTTGTTGAGCGACCCCTTGTGAAACCAAATTGTTCACTATGCAGAAAGTTATTACTATAAAAATATGATTGCATTTGATCTAGCATAATCTTTTCAAAAATCTTACTAAAGGTGGGTAGCACGGATATGGGTCTAAAATTTGTGGGGTCAGATGTGCTACCCGATTTATGCAATGGAGTTATTTTACAATGTTTCATTAGATCAGGAAAAACACCACAGTCAACACATTAATTAAAAATGCTAGCCAGAATAGGAGCTATTGTCTCAATTACTGATCTAGAAACATCCACGGAGTTACCCCACAGATCCGCGGTTTTCTTTTTATTCAATTGGTTAAAATATTTGATTATGTCTTTAGAGTTAACATATTTAAATTTAAATTGACTAGTACCTTGTTTTATGTTTTCTTTTAATATTGATTCAGCAGCAATGGGGGAGGATTCGATGGAGTGTACGAAGTTAATTTTCATAGAAAATGGAACATTAAATAAATGCACACTGGTATATAACGGAAATTCTAATTCCATATGCACAACCCGCACTGACTACCTTAGAGGATGATTCCATTTTTATGGACGACAATACTCGTCCGCACCGTACTGACGACGTGGAAGCGGTCCTGACCTCAATCCAATTGAGCATGTCTGGGATGTTCTAAAGAGACGGGTAAGATCAGTCCAACCTGCTCCACAAAACATCAGGAAGCTCAAAAGAGTCATTAGAGAAGAGTGGGAATGTATTCTTCTAACCGTTAAGAAAAACATTGTAGAAAGTATGTCCAGAAGGATTCAAGCTGTGATTTTGGCAAGAGGAGGTCACACTCGTTATAAGGTTTTTACATTCGTAACTTATTAAAATAAAAAAAAACTAACTTATTGTTTATATTGGTTTAAAAGAATTCATCGAAAATTAATAAAAAAGTTTGCCAAAATTTTATTTACTTCACACGTTTTAATTTACACGATTATAAGTAAACAGACTACGTCAAACAATTAAATTTCATTTAATAAACTAAAATCCACCTTAGAACGTAAATTTCCTTCCTATTTCCGGTTTTTTTTTTGCTTATGAGTGTATTAGTATAGATGTCATTCAAGTCAAAGCAAAAGGTAGGAACTTGAAAATTGTTGACTGTAGAAATCCAATCAATCCCAATCTGCAGAAAGGTTTGTAAAACTTATAATAGGCTGGAGCCTGATTTAGACATCAAGGGATGGCTTTATTAGAAGCAAGTTTCAGTCTCAAGCAGAAATGCCAAATTTTGAACATAAGAATATGGTTAAATTTTAATTTTTTGTTACTGTATTTAATATAAACTTTTTTTATTCTGATTTCTTTTTTTTTGTTTAATTACATTTAGTAATTAGTACTTATTGAACTTGTATTTTGTTTAACATAAAACATACAATATAGCAACTTAAAATTTACTAATCTTTAAAGCTCGCTAGAGCCCTTAAAATGACATTTAAATTATTTATTTTTGTCGTTTTTTAACCTGTATAAAATTACACGAATTTCGATACCTCTTACGATATTGTAACTTGATAAAAGTTTATTTTATAAAATACGGGACACCCTAGTACCACAGGCCAATCTAGGTCAGTATTGACCTGAAGCTCAGTTCTGGGGTAAAGGAGTCTACAGGCGAGTAATACTGACCGAGAGCTCAGTTCTGGGGTAAAAGAGTCCACAGACGAGTAATACTGACCCAGACCTCAGTTCTAGGGTAAAGGAGTCCACAGACGAGAAATACTGACGCAGACCGCAGTTTTGGGGTAAAGGAATCCACATACTATTAATACTGACCTAGAGTTTAGTTCTGTTTAAAGTGGTCCACATGCGAGTAATACTGACTGAGAGCTCAGTTCTAGGGTAAAGAAGTCCACAGGCGAGTTATACTCACCAAGAGCTTAGTTCTGGAGTAATGGAGTCCACATACGAGTAATACTGACCTAGAGCTCAGTTCTGGGGTATCTACGGGGGGCAGCTTGACCCCGCTGGTCGAGGGCGCGCTCAGGGATTGATGGCTCGACGTAGTGGGCACCACGTCCGGCTCCACTTTCACCTTCACTTTGGGAGTCTCAACCGTTTCTATGGGGCTAAAAAGAGAAAAGAATTATTATTTTATTCTATGTACAGTACGGGAAATAACTTAGGTCAGGGAACATGAATGACAATTCTGCTTATTTACTGTAATAATCATAGATATAGGATGTAAAGATATACAAAGTACCTATCGCAAGTGTTCTGAAAAATTTAATTGTGCATGTGTGCGTATCGGTGTTTAATTTGTGTGATAGTGGCGTTTTGTCTAAATATGCTTTAAATACAGACCCACACACGAGCATGAGCACCGAAATATAACGCGTTTTTATCACGCTCAATTGTTAAATTAGTATGGAATCTGCCAAACTATTACAATAGTTTGTCGGCAGAGTTACCGTGAATAATGACTAATTACAAATTACTTACAATGTGTTACTTCTGCTATAGCTAATTAAGCTAGTTATTCAAAACAATTCAGTAGGTACTATTATAAAGATACATTAAATATTACTTATATTAAAAAGAACAATTTATTTGACCTTACAATATATGACATCAAAAATTATATATCCACAACGAATATTATAATTCCTAACAATCTTATATATTTTAAGATATTTTAAACGTAATTGGTGACACGTCCAACGCTAGCGCGTGATCCACGAAAACTGAGTTTGACAGTTAGACACGATAAAAAGCGTGATATAATGGAAATTGTGGTGACAGGATACCATAACACAAACTGAATGGTATAAGCACTATTGTTTTCGGAGTTTCACATAATTTCATAATAAACTTTATCACAGTACGGGTTGACAGGACGCTGTTGGCTCTAGTGTATCTCTGTACCTTTTCCTGTAACGACTTCTGGAAATAACAACGAAAATACAGTGGTCCCTTCATCGCCGTTATACCCGTAATCCACTATATATCATAGTAGTCAGTCCAACTCCTAGAGCGATTGATTGTCATATCATTAGAAAAAAGATAATCTATGGTCAATCAAATTATTATGAAATATACATTTAGAACTTGTGACCCAAATGTGTGCATGCAATTATGACCCTAAGGTGGTAAACATTTTCTGACCGCGACCGTACAATCAATATAGCATATTACGTATATTCTGAGTTATAAAGATAAAACAATGCCTTTGATGCTTTTATAAATAACACAAATAGTTCAAAATCAAATGACAAATGCTTCGACAACACTTCTAATTCGTAAAACTGTAAAATCATTTTTTCTCAAAAGTCACGGTTTGTCGCAAATGTTATTTACGTAATCGCCATTTTGTTATCAAGAATAGGACAACAATACAGCTCAGCCATTCGCACTCGGAAGCTGATTCGCCGTTTCGCTCGCTCTGCGTTGAAGCGCACAGTTCTGTCTCGCTCGCTCGATTGAATGTTATTTAGACGTGTGCGTGTGTGAGAATTGCTTATGTATTTGAGACGGATCATATTTTATTTGTTGCTAGTACAGGCGTACCATATCTTCCCATTTTGTTTTAATCTAAGCTTTTTACACAGTTCTTATTACTAAAACAAGACATATATTTTTTGCTTATTATCATCAGCTCATTTCTTACTGTTCTCCAAAGTATGCATTTATCTAAGAATTATGTCAAAATGCAATACAGACAGATACACCAATTCAAAAAGTCAAGGAACAAACAGTAGTAAAGAATGGGGGCTCGTGACGCCACTAAGAAACAAAAATTGTAGCAAGAAGTGACGTCAAGCGATATTTTAAATAAATATATTCCTATAATTTATATTTTTATTTTTAAGCATTTATCTGATTGATATAAAACTAGCGATTTTTTTTTACTAAAAAATATTTCACATGGTCGGAGCAGCAGAAGACCGCGTGGATTTTTTTCTAGTAAAAAAACTATATCTCTATAAAAGTTACTCATCATCCCTATTCAAAGTGGGATCACAATAATCAACAAAAACTCAACAACTATTCATTACAGCAACTTGAACAGAAATAAAAAAGAAAACATTTCTTTCAACTTACACCGCGTCCGTTTGTGTGGCGACTGTGCTCTGATTCTGTGGCAAGTTTGTGACCACCGCCGAGTACTGCTGCATCAGTAGCACGGACGCGTCTAGCATAGCTTGGATCTCTCGTAACAACTGAAACCAAACACATACGGTGTAAATCAGGGTCGTATTTCTTAAAATAAGTATACACCATAACAGTATTTACCCTCGGGCCAATACACATTGCACATATTTTCCTAGTCAAAAGTCAGCCTAAAAAGTCAAGTTGCTGCAGAGCTCCGTGAAAAATTCAAAATAAATACCTTATATACCTAAAGTGTCGTTTTTTCGATAGAAACACCTAGCATTTTTTTTTCAATAGTCCTAATACTTACTATAAACAGATTTTAATGGAAAATATTTGTGATATTCAAATGCATGGTCAGTAATATAGTCGTCTCTTTTCCTCGCGGAACCTGCTATATTGCTAACAGAAGAATCACAGAATTGCGCATGGAATCAAAGAAATAAGGTCTATAATCTTCCGCATTTAGCAATGTCATAAAATTACGAGTTTGCATTTCGAACTGTCAACTCTTTGAAGCATGCATTTTAATTAAAACATTATATAATTTGCATTAAAGGTGAATTTCAATGTTAAAATAATGCCTTATGTTTTTTTTGACTACGCGATCCTCTTACAGAGCTTCGTGGATCGTCCAATGTACCTTTTGGACAGGTTTCGGACACGATTTTGTTCGTGTTGGTGTATACAGGGTTAATTTTAAAACACCAACAACCTCTTAGGGGGTGGAGTAAAAAAAACAGCTGTTTCATACAAAAGTGCATCAGCTAATCGAATGAAATGTATGAAACAGCTGTTTTTTTTTCGCGATTTCAGAGTTGGTCCTATAATAAAGTTGATCCTGTTGATGGGTAGAATCACCCCCTAAGAGGTTGTTGGTGTTTTAAAATAAACCCTTTGTAGGGTATTTAAGATCGTTGGCTGGTTAGCTGAAACATTTCTCGGTAAAATCAAACTAGTACATTAATATCACTCACTGACCTGCAGTCTCGCTTCAATGTTTCTGCGTTCGGTGCCTTCCATGCGTTGCAGTTCAGCGGTAGTGAGCGTGGCGAGTGAGGCGGGCCGCGGTGGCGGCGGCGGCGGAATGCCCCAAGACATCATCGCTACACAAACGCAACACAATACAGTTGACCCCACGACAACGGCTAACTAGAGCAGAGGTTCGAGTCTCAGAGACGCCCTCTAGTTGAGCCGACCCCCTCAGGTTCGAGTGGTCTAGAGGCTCCAGACGGAGAGGAGACTCCCTCCGTGGGGAGTTGCCATCCGCCTGGAATACCTCTAGAGGCACTCGCCAATTCTCGGCTTGAGGTCCCCTTAGGATCTCGCCGTCCTCAAACCCGGTGACGCTGTAAAGGTCATCTGAGACCAACAGCATACACACTTTAAAAAAAAAAACATTTTTTTTTAGTTAGACGATAGACGTTATGAGTATATTTTTGCTGCTCTATATCTTAATACTTCAGTTTTTATTTACTGGCAGAAGTCTCCTATAAGCAAAATATAGTAGTTTCACCTACTACATATTTTTTTCAGAAATATAATATTTGATCCCCTAATATAGTAGGATACTTTAATATATGGTAGGGTTGGCAACCCTAAGGGTAGTATACAACTATAAGTTTTCAAGCTTTCAAAAACAGGGCAACTTATATAGTTAGGGTTTATATTTTATATACTTACGCGGCGGCGGCATATTGGGGAAGGGCGGGGGCACGGCGCCCGCTTGCGGCGGAGCTTGGCCAGGTACAGCGCCAGGGCCGGGGGCAGGGGCAGGGTTGGCGCGCTGCGCGGGCGCAGGGCCGGCGTCAGGGGAGGGCGCGGGCGCGCGCAACACGTTCAGTCGGCATGTGGGGCACGTCTGCTGCCGCTGGAACCACAGCCGGAGGCACGCCGCGTGGAAGATGTGGTTACACGGCAGTTTCTTCGCGCCTATGACACACAATAAATCCTTTTGACTAATATCCTTCCGCACTATACAGCGTAGAGGGTATTCGCAGGGTTTTTTAGCGGATAGTATGCCGTAAGCGCTCGTAAGCTGCGCGAACTGCTTAACGGCTTCTTCGTTTCGCACCCGTAAGACTTGCGGGAGGCTAGGTGTGAGGTTAAGAGCGCCAACGTCTGTAAATAGAGGTTTTGCCTGCGTAATAAAAAAAAAGGCTGTGGGTAGGGGATTGGGTCAGGGTCAGAAAAAGGTAACGGGTAAAAATACAATAACAAGATAATTTTTCTAGAAATTAATATTTATAATATTGCTGTTTAGCCATGACTTAAATAAAAATACAGAATCTCTTATTTATCATACAAACGTTTGCCCCACCGAATTTCGAACCCAGGACACCTTAAACACTCCGTGCAAACACTACGGAGATTGTGAATACATCATTCGCTCTCGCACGAAAAGGTTGTGGAATAAACTTCCTGCTACGGTTTCCCTAAAAATTCGTATTGGTCACTCGTGTTTAAACCCTTGTTGACATTGCACGCGAATACAACATGCCCGCGGCCAGCCTTTATTGGTCGTTCGTGTTTGAACATTCGCTTACATTGAAAGCGAATACAACTGGCCGCTACCCCGACCGCGGCCGCAAGCCGCTTCTGATTATGAGACACCTGCACAAGGAGAATGGACAGTAGAACGTGGAGTACATGTACAGAATGATGAGAGTGACTTAATAACAGCTCTACTTGCCTACTACACCAGTGATATATTCGAGATAACATACTCCTAAACGCCATATGAGTTATATATAAAAAAAAACCTCAGCAAAGCAGATAGAACACTCTTATCATTGCACTATCTGATTGTTCATAATTTCATTGATGGTAATTATCAAAAGGAAACTGATAATCCTAACGTGGAGAGCTAAGCCACGCACGGCGTAGACATGCGATCATCCAGATAAAAAAATACGTTTCTACACCCTACACTACACACAGCACGTACTCATTGCAAAAACCACAAAAATGCTATTATTTATATTGGGTTATTGAGGCAGTTATCTAAAAATTTTTAATTAAAAATGGTTAATAAAAAGTAAAAATTCACAATAGTACACATAGTAGGTATTAAATAAAGCAAGTTTCATGTACTGAACAATACTTACTAATTAATGCATCAAGAATGCCTACAAATTAACTGAAATTCCGGACCGTGAAGGCGATAACAATGAACTGCAATAACCACAGAGACACCAACTGTGAAGCACCACGTAACTTGTACTACACTACACCTTTACGATTCCAATCAGTAGTATGATGAAAGAATAAATCTGTAAACATGCGTCATGCGACCTTGTATGTGTGAACTGTGAGGTTAAGGTGTAAAGTTTTCTACTGATTTGCTAGATTGTTTGCGATCGTAGCGCTAAAAACTACATTTTTGGGTCGAACAGCCTATTTACGATCGTACATTTCGCGATTACATTATCATATATATCATACATTACATCAGCCTGTTTACATCGATATCCAATAATCTGAATTGGTTAATCCTTGTTAAAAAAAATACTTCACTCCACTTACATGAAGCCAATATAAATTTAGGGATATAGCTGGCTGAGCAGGGATAAGTACGCACTTGACACCCCGGCTTTTCCGGCCTAGCTTAAGCCCTAATCTCGTTTCTTGTCGATACTGGGTAACCTTACCTTCAGTTGAAGGAACAATGTTGCAGTCTTCTAGAGTGAGGAACCTGGCCAGGCGCAGGTTTTATTTGAGCAAAATACCCCGTACACTAACTTCTCTTTAAGTGTGTGTCTGCTTTTTAAATGTTCTGGATAGACACTCGATATACAAAGTATTAAATTCAACAAATCTACATATCATTAACATATCTCACTGACCGTCTTTAAATAAAATATTTCAAGTGGCATTAACTAGCAACACGGCAGAAATCTAAACAAGTCTGTAGGCACCTGACTGACCTTAATGTGGTAGTTTCTCTGGCCTTCGAATTTATCGAAGTTAAAAGCAAAAGTATTTATTGAATATTTTCTACAGCTAGATAGCAGCATTCTTGCTACCACAGTCGTGTGTGAAGGACGTATATCGCTATCGGCTACCGATATCCACTATCTACGTTGTTTTGAATACATAAAAAATATCGTCCAAATCATCAAAATAAAACACGAACATTCTTGTTTCTTACACACTCCGCGCATTTGTTACAATCATGATGACCATATATTTGTTTCAAATTTATTTTTTGTATAATGGAAACAAACTAAGTAAAGCAACACTCTTCAATAACCAATAGACATAAAGTATAGTGTTAGAAGGTCGAAATTAATAAATTCCCGGGCGACAGTACTAGCGACGGCGGTTCACCATGTTTCAATGAATTAATCTATTCGTTTTTCAGTCTGAAACAAAACTATATTGCTGTTCTTAAGTCAAGGAAAAAAGTCAAAAAAGGAGACATACCAGAGTGCATTTCTTCGCGACATATAATGCATTCGTTGTCAGCGGCGGCAAGCTCCGCGGCTGTAGCGTCAGGGTAGAGAGTATTCATGTTTCGGATCGCGCGCCGAGACAGTACCACGTCGTTATAAGCTTTCTTGAAACTCCTAAAACATAGTAAGATTATCATCGTTAAAAATTTTGAAATTAGTAAGTTAGAATTTTTAGAACTACCTATACCCACACTGTGCCGTGTTGCGGGTACTGTAGGCAGAGAGAAAAAGAGCGCATTTCGAACCTTTAATCTTAGAAAATTGATAAGTATTTGGGAAATAGCTAGCTTTTATGACTTGATTTTATAGGAGTTCAATGAAACACGTCGGTTCTATACTGAGCTATCTATTTGCGGCGAGCCCGTCTACCTTACTTACAAAATATGTACAATATTTGTAACTACCCACTATATACATACATTACAAAAGTAAAACTGATTTCGTCAACAATAGCTCAGAGGAATTAATCTCAACAATAATGTGTAGTTTAATAATATAAAACTTACCTCATTGTCTCATACATTGGTCGGAATGCGAAGAGTGGTAGGGTGTAGATGCGCACCATGACGGCAACAAAGCCGATGTACAGGAGTACTTTTAAAAAATTTATGGCAAGCTCTGTATATAAGAGGACTGCCGCTTTGCTCTCCCAAGGCGTTTCCCAGCGTGAGTCGATTGCGTGCAGGGCATACTGTGTAATTTAGAATGTATTATTTATTAGAAAAGTAATAAATAATTAAACATTTTAGGGCATGGGCACACGATGCGTTGCGGCGGCGGCGCCGGCGCAGTGTCAGAGCGGTGTCGCTGCGTTGTCTTACATAAAAATATCTGTGGTATTTTACACAATGCGCTGCGTTGCTGCACCGAATTTGCGATCGCCGAGAAGCAGCGCATAGCGCTGCGAAGCTTCAGTCGGTACGGCGGCGTTCTGATATTCTATTAAATACTGCGTTGTCCCTCCGTCGCTTTAACGCAATCCCCTCTCCCAACTCGTCCCCCTCCTCTCCTTTTACGTTGCGTCGCCATCCGTAGTTTCAATGCATTATGTGGCATGTCATTCAGATTTATATGTAGAACGACAGTCCACGCAGCGCTAATGCAATGCACAGACAGAGCCCATGTGGCATCTCATCTCCCTAAGTAACGTAGACAATGCCAATACATTGCTTAGCGACTGAAGAAACAACCAGCAAGAAATTAAAGGGCAACAAAAAAGTTCTAATTAAAACTATGCTCATTAAATCTTAATAATAAATTGTAAAAATTTCATAATAAAATACTATTCAACTAACCTTGATTAAAATGTTTGCAATCATTATAATGAGTATACTATACTCAAAGCCAAACACAAGCTGCACCGACGGCCCTTTGGATGCGGTAACTTGGTATGCATGGAATATGAAGTAAGAATCTGCATAGGCCAGTAACATCAACAGGCTCAGGATTCTCACATGGAACAACCATCCTATCACAGGACTCCTTTCCATCTAGAAGAATTATGAATTGAAATTAATCATTTATACTCCTTAATCTAATATGTACTGGTATTTTGTGACTGGGAACTAATTTTATTTTAATTTAGTAGGCAAATGATCGTTATTTGGGTTAGATTTAGTGCCTCAGACATTTGCCCTGTACAGTATGGCATTGCAGATTCCACAGGTACCCTATAGCATAAGTTTAATATAAACTACCTGTAATCAAAATGATTACTTTTAGTTAATCAATACTTACATAATCAACCCTGTCTTCTGCAAGCCAATGGAATGCTTTTAAAAATAGCAATAGAGTGAATAGAGCTATAAATTTTGGATTGAAGTCATCCCTGAAAACAGTGAATGCTAGGCATGTTTCCGTTATGGCATACCAGGATCTTTCTATCAAGTGCTGAAAATGCAAATCAGATAAAGATTTATAATTTATGAATATATTTAAAAATAATAATGAACTTTTCAAAATTAGCATTTTTTTATTATATACAAATCTTTAATAGATTTATGTATGTAAAGAATATAGAAATTCTCTGAATAGGGTAAATATAATAATCTAACTCATCAACCTAAAGTGAATGAACTTGTAAATTCAAGAAAATGGATGATTTTTTGGACTTTAGTTTTTTTTTGTAAAAGTAAATTCTATTTCTTACCTCAAATTCTGCTGGTCGAAGTTGTCCAAAGAATATTTTCCGTAATAACTTACCAACTAGAAGTACTAGTATAAAAGCTTGCAAATACATTACCTAAAACATTTACAATGTATTAAACAACTCGCTATGCTAAATAAAACTCGTCTGTTTATTTTTATGTCACAGTAATAAAAAAAGTATATACAGTAGAGTTTACTGAATTCTTTAATCCTTTAAAAATAAAATAGCTAACACTTAAGCGGCGCTATTAGGGACTTAAATAATAAGATTTCTTAATGAAAATAATAATGGTATCATAAAAGTTAAAATGAAAATATTCCAAGAGCATTTAAAAAAAATATACTTACAGCCATGCTAGGGTTTGAGTTTGTTAGGTAGACTATTGAAGGATAAAACTGTTTTTTCTGATAATAGGCATTTCCAATAACCACAGTCGTAAGAGCAAGACTGATTACAGTTGCTAGTATAGCCTTCATTTTGTATTTTTTGTATCCACCTGTGCACTAAAATTTCACTTCGATTTATCAGAATATCCTAAGCACACAAAAATCTGAATAATGTCAACAAATACATTTTCAAAACATCTTTTCGTTTCAATCGCAAGTAAAAAAACTATTTTTGACGTGTTCAGTGTTCATTTGTGTCATTTCCCAAACTTTTTTATGCTTAATTTACAGCTCTGACATGTAGACATGAGACAAAGTGGGACGAGTGAGAAGTAAAGTACGGAGGCCTTTTATCACTGTCTAATCTCATCTAAAAATTATGGTCACTCTGACCATAATTTTTTATCCTATTTTATGCGTGCCTGATTTAAATATTTCTATAGATTTTTAATCACAGAGGACCGAATGCGGTCTACGTGTCAAGTCGCATTCTCACCTACGCCTTACGTTACTCAGGCGGATGCGCTTACTATTAACAAAACTTAATGGCTTAGTCAAATGAAAAAATAGAAATAGACGTAAGTTTCCATTGCAATAGGGTAAGCAATGGAAACTTAAGTTATACGGCCAACATTACTATACCTAATGTGTGTTTAGATGGATGTAATCTGTAATCTTGGCTCAAAGGAGCAGTATTCATGCCATAAATATTATTTAAAAAATCTGTAATCTTTGTAACACATAGTCACAAAGTTACTCTATGCCACAGAGTACCTTCAGTGCTGCCAATTTAGCATATTTATGGCTAAATTTAGCATATTTTTAAGTGATTTAGCTTTAAAAAAATCATTTTAGCATGAAGCATATTTTTTAGCATATTGTCTTGTAACTTAATACAAATGAAATGCTACGTTATTAAATTACGTTTCAATTTTTGCCGTGACCGCTCTCCAATCGGTGCACTGTTTTATCAATTTTTTGTTGTTCAGCCATTAACGATAAAAAATATCACACTAGTTGCTACTTCACTGTCGTTCAAAAACTATTTTAATTAGTCTATGCGTCGCTCGTTTCGTTGTCTTTACTATGCGAGGATCCCCGAATTGAAAAACAGATGAATGAATTAATGAATTGTTATTTTATGATTAAGCCAACTTACTAACTAGATAATCATTAATTATCATATTAGTTAATTGGCTGGCTAGCAAACAAACAATACATTTACACGTGTAGTAGTGGTAATTTTGTATTGTTCTGTTTCTAATATTATTTTAACAATGACTGCGGAATATACTCAGCATAAACGTTCGGAGTGGGTATTAATGATAGAATTTAAAGAATGGTTGTATAACTAATCAACATTAAACTTAATATATCTTTTATAATTGTATTGTTACTAATTGTCACTAATATTTTATCACATACATTACAGTTACAATCTTATATAACAAATATCGGTAATGGACATTAGTGGTTAGCATTATATTTTGGCATATTTTTTTAAAATTTAGCATATTTTTGGCATTTTTTTAACGTCGATTTAGCATGGAATATTTTTTGGAGTTGGCAGCACTGAGTACCTTATTATAACCGGAAACTCTATGCTCAGTAATCTGTGGACGCTGTGGCTTGCTTATGTCAAAAAGAGAACGGGAAAATGGTGTTTGTTTGTTCCTTTGAATAAACAATTTACAAAAAGGTTAAAATTTAAAATGATATCGTGGTGTTTTAATTTTAATACTTTTATGGTGACTGTATAGAGCTTCTTGCGGTTATAACTTTATCAGGTAAGAATGTTTTCGACATAAAATATGATTATAAAGAATCTGCCGCGCAATCTACTTTCGCTAGAATAGCAATGAAATATCTATTTTTGATGTTTTATAAAGACATAGAATTCTCAAGTTATTTACTCACTAAAACATACTTTTACATAGTACCGAATTTTTGTTGCTGTTCTTATGTGGCTTCAACAGTTTCTCAAACCTAGAAACAATTTCTATATTTTATTCTTGCAAGGGATATATATTTCTGATTAATATAACACTTTGTGCATGAGGCTCAAAAAACCTCTCTCTCATAATAATAAAATAGTATTTGACGGTGATTTATCGTTTCGAAACTTCTATGATCAAATAATAAAAAAAACATCTCAAATATTGGGGTTCATGTGCAGAAACACAACACAGAAGATCCCCTTATATTCATTACTAAATAAATTCAAAAGCATTTTGTTAAACTAGTCTGTTTAGGATTTAATACACTTTGCTCTAAACCAGTGGTTCTTAACCTTTTAGTGACGATGAACTGTTTGTCAAAATTTCTGCTTTGCCACGGACCATCACTTATGATTTTCCCCTAGAATTTGTAAATGAATTAGAGTTTTTCCTTATGTCATATTTTTTCAAATGGCTATGCGGACCACTTCAGTTGCTTTCAGGGCCCTCCAGTGATCTGCAGACCACTGGTTAAGAACCACTGCTCTAACCCAACTTATGCAGATAGATTGTTGAGACTTGGTATGCAGTTATTCATATTTCGTAGGTAATTTTTACCATTTCTTTTTTTTCACCATCTCTGCTCCTAATTGATAATTGCTAACAGTTAATAACTCCTTGATAATGGAGCAGGTATAGATTGTAGATCTTTAGTATTTATGAGAAACCTAATTGCTAATTTCTCACATTTGTAATTCATTATCATTAAAACACAAAAGACTGTGGATTAGATTATTGCATATTATGTACCTGTATTATTAGTAATGTCTATTAACTTAAGAATAGGTGAAATTTGTACCTCAACAACAGGTAATTGTTACTAATAATGTGTAACATGATAAAAACGACACATGAGTTTTGTTTGTTTGAAGAGAGGGATAGAAGGTCTCTGTTTAGGACAACCTAAACAGAGATCTTACTCGATTTTCTTTACCATAGATTGTATTGGCTAGTCCATGCCTCTTTTTATTTTGTTTGGCTTAACAAGGTTTTATCAAGACTGATTTCTTTTCTTGCCTTTTGGAAAGAATAAAAGGAACAAAATTGTAACATCGCTTCATGACATAAATTTCTATATAAGAGATGTTATTCAAAAACATAACACAAGGCCTAGCGAAAACGATCTATAAAAAAGGAGAAGAAGTGAGACAACCTAATCAGCAGCCTTCTATCTCGATCTTCAACCAAACAAAACTCATGTGATTGTGATGTGTTTTGAACATGTTACAAATGTTAACAACCCCTAAAAAAGAGGTCATGGAAGCCATAATCACGAAGATTCAATGTTGCTGTAAAAGACTATATCTTTCTACTAATCTGTGTATATTGATAAACTTATAATATCCACAGGTTATTTGATCTGCGCTCAAGATATTGAAGCTCTACCATAAAATGGTGAGATTTTTATATATGTTTATTCAAATTTTTACCAAATCAATTAGTTAAAATATTTTGCTACATACACAATTATTTAATGTTTATTGCAGCAAGGAGATGACCCTCCCTTCTTGCCTGTGGGCACTGATGTCAGTGCTAAGTATAAAGGTGCCTTTTGTGAAGCGAAAATCAAGAAAGTAGTAAGGAATATAAAGTGCAAGGCAAGTTAATTTAGTTTTTATATTTATTTAATTACAATTACACTAACTATTTAATTGGAGCTATTTAGTTTAGTACTTATTGTAATTTATTAGCAGGTATGTCCTGCAGTGATGGTACTTGTATATTATTTGTTTTCAGTTGTATTATGTTTATAGATAAATACTATGTTTTCATCATTTTTTTCTAACATAATTTGTTATAATGTGTAGGTGACACCAAAAGCTGGTGGTGGATCCATCACGGTAAACGATGATGTAATCAAAGGCACCCTTCGTGTGGGCAGTACAGTTGAGGTGAAACAAGACCCCAAGAAAGAGGTCATGGAAGCTATAATCACCAAGATTCAAGACTGCAGCCAGTATACTGTTGGTGAGTGTTTAATATCAACTAAAATGTAATTATGAAGTATTAATCTATTATGAAAAATTATGTTTTCTGAAATTGTGACCTCCATTAAAGGTAGCTTTGTGAGTACTATCTGTTTGCATTCCTCCTCTTTAATAACATGGTAATACACTGTCTAACTACTTATTTGCTAGTCCCTTATTGCCTGTAATATAGGTTATCTTACCAGGGGCGACAGAATTCACCTTTTACAATATTTTAACAACCAAGTGTCACTAATTTTGTTACATTTGTTTAAAAATATTGTATACGGTAACTTGCTTGAAGTCAATAAACTTTTATTATTGTTATCTTTCATAGAGCATATTAGGTTATAAATAAAAAAAGTAAAATTTGCTTGATACTGTCTGTCAATTATCAAATAATATTTATATAATTTGCAATTTTTAGTGTTTGATGATGGAGACATAACCACACTACGGAGGTCAGCGTTGTGTCTCAAGAGTGGTCGCCATTTTAATGAAAGTGAGACATTAGACCAGCTACCTCTGACACATCCAGAACATTTCTCGACGCCTGTTATAGCTGGACGTCGAGGCCGAAGAGGCAGAGCCCAGTAAGTTGTCATAGTATCAGTTTATTCCAAATTAAAGCTTTCTAAAAAAATAAAGATTTTTGTAAACAGTTGTTTATGTTTTCCTCTTTCTTAGAGAAGAGAGCTACAAACCAACCCTAAACCACTTCTTAAGTTAAATTTCTGTGTCACACTTTAGTTAAATCTACACTATTTGTGTATTGAATTTTATGTGGATTAAGTGTTACTCTGCTGGTTGATCTACAATATCTTTAAATTGAGTTTTACATACAATATCCTAGGGAGAGCATAAATCAAGCTAGGGCCCTGCGAAAGAGTATCAACATTACTAAACTTGTTGCTTCACACCTTGTGCGATTTCAGAGTTGCCCTCCACAAAATATCCACCAATCAACAACTTATCTATAACATACAACATGGACCGAATGTAAAGTAAATCAGTGTAAATATGCATGTGGAGAGATGAAAATCTATGTATTGGCTGTCTTTCTCTCTATCTAGGTAATTGTTAATCTCATATGAGGGTCGCTCAGTTTATTCTCTGTGTATAAATTAGGTCGGACGAAAGTGAAGGCGAGGGTCCCAGTCGACGGGTCAAAGAGAACAGTGCAGAGAGAGAGCCTCACGTAGGCCGCGTGGTGTTAGTAGAAGCCGCTAGCGGGGCGGAACGGAGGAGGCCGCATCAGCCAGCCTTCCCTGCCCTGGTAGTGGCGCCCACTGCGCAAATCAAGGTCAAGGAGGACTACCTGGTGCGCTCCTTCAAGGACGGCAGATAGTGAGTAGATTATTGTGAACAGTACAAAAAGAGGGCCTCAGTAGACCGCGTGGTGTTAGTAGAAGCCGCTAGCGGAGCTGAACTGAGGAAGCCGCATCAGCCAGCCTTCCCTGCCCTGGTAGTGGCGCCCACTGCGCAAATCAAGGTCAAGGAGGACTACCTGGTGCGCTCCTTCAAGGACGGCAGATAGTGAGTAGATTATTGTGAACAGTGCGGAGAGAGAGCCTCAGTAGTCCGCGTGGTGTTAGTAGAAGCCGCTAGCGGGGCGAAACGGAGGAGGCCGCATCAGCCAGCCTTCCCAGCCCTGGGCGCCCACTGCGTAGATCAAGATTAAAGAGGACTACCTGGTGCGCTCCTTCAAGGGGGGCAAATAGTGAGTAGATTCTTGTGAAGAGTGCAGAAAGAGCCTCACGTAGGCCGCGTGGTGTTATTAGAAGCTGCTAGCGGGGCGGAACGGAGGAGGTCGCATCAGCCAGCCTTCCCAGCCCTGGTAGTGGCGCCCACTGCGCAGGTTTAATGGTTGGATGAATGGAAATCCAGCTCGAAGGACCAAATAAATGTAGTAAGCAGTTATGATAATTGTTAATAAATAAATTATACTGTAAATAATGAGATACAGATCTATAATAAGGTTAAAAAAATAAAGCCGAAAGAGCTTTGTTCTATATAATATGTGAAGAAAAAAAACTTTTGTACCTCTCTTGAAATACATTTTGTACACGGAGAAGTGTATTCCGTATAGTTAAAGATATGGCAAACAATTTGCAAAAGAGAGTTGCATTTTAAAAATACGATTAGGAACCACTAGCATTCCTCATAAATATCTGCTAACCCTGCTACTGATATTTAGTGTAAAGTTATATTTGTAGTTTCTTACTTATTTTTTATCTTCCCAGTTACACGGTGCCTAAGAAAGAAGCTCGTGAATTTCGCAAAGGCAGTGCTCCATTAGAGTGGGCGGGCGTGGAGGCAGCCCTGCAGTACCTCAACAACGGGGTGTTGCCCCCCCATTGGGACAGAGATGCGCTCTTTAACGAACCCAGGAACACTTCTGATGACGTGAGAAAAATTTTTTTCTTTAACAGTATTCGTGAACATTTGTGTTATTTTTTAAAAGGGTGGCAATCAAGCATATCGCCCGCCTTATGGTAAGCGGCCAATATGGGCCGTTCAAGTATAACGTAAGCAGATTTATTACAATTATTTGCCCCTTTCTCCCTCTTTTCAGCAAAAGTAAGCATACTTTTTAGCAAACCAAAGTTACAGCATCAGTTTTATTCCAGGTTTAATTTGAGTCTACGTTTTGTAATAAGATGGTTAAAGTCTGAAACTAAATTTCGTGAATTTCTATTTTTACTAGAGTTCAGATGACGAACCGCGTGAAGAGAAAGACCACTTCGTAGCGCAACTATATAAGTTTATGGATGACCGCGGGACTCCCCTTAACAGGAATCCAACCATTGCAAACAGGGATATTGACCTATATAGACTATTCAGAGTAAGTACTTGATATAACTTGTTTTAAAATGTGACAATAATAATAAGTATTTATTTTTTCCAAAAATGTATTATAATATACATGAAAATGAAATCTTAAGTGCTGCATTTCGGATTGGTAATTTATTTAAATTGTGGACAGGTCGTGCAAAAGCTTGGAGGGTACAACAGAGTCACCAACCAAAATCAATGGAAAACTATTGCTGGCAAGATGGGATTCCATCCCGTCACTACGAGTATTACGAATCTTTGCAAGCAAGCTTATAAGAAGTGAGTTTTTAAATTATTTTTCTCGCGAAAATAAAACTTATTAATTTCCTTATTAAGAAGTGCTAAAATTTAAAGATTTGAAATCGGTGAGCTACAGTACCTCTCTTTTCATTCACATTTCAATATTGATTATTTTTATTTACTGTATGCTCGTAAAGATAAACACCAAATGGTGATAAATCTGTTAAAAAAAACCTCTAATGCCGACACTTCAATTGGTTATTCTCGTTTGCTAATTGTAAACTCGACATCAGTCTGTCCTTTTCATTCCTTCTAAAGCGTGATAAGGACAGACTGTTGTCAAGTCTACAAATAGCAAATACGAATAGCCAAGTGTATAGTATTTTACCAATATTTGTATTTGACATAATTCAAAATTTCCTTCCTGAGACACTAATATCATTCATAACGGTAATAAATCCCGAAACAATTCGCTCAGGTTCCTGCACAGCTTCGAGGACTTCTACCGCAAGTTGGGCGTGACATTAGTGGCGCACCCTCGTGGGGCTCGCACTCCTCCCGCGGGCCGATCCCTCATACGAGACCGTGACAAGCAGCCGCCCACGTCCTCGTCCGCGTCCTCCACGCCCACCGGCACTCCCACACAGGTACCCACGCACACGAACACACTCCGCCGTCAGTCTGGTGGCGCACCCTCGTGGGTCTGCCACCCCTCCCGCGGGCCGATCCCTCATACGAAACCGTGATAAGCAGCCGCCCACGGCCTCGTCCGCGTCCTCCACGCCCACCGGCACTCCCACACAGGTACCCACACACACGAACACACTCCTCCGTCCGTCTGGTGGCGCACCCTCGAGACGATACGAGACCGTAACAATACTGCCACTCAGTTAATTTTCTAACTTGCTCTAATATATCCAATAGGGGTGATGACGGGGTACAGTTAACGAAATTCTATTTAGTCCGTCAGTTAGATGATCAAAAAATAATGGACACGTATTTTTTCTTTGGGCAATCAACCAAAAAATGACAAAGTTATAGCGCGTCAAAGTTTGGGAGTAGGGGCTCGTGACGTCACTTTTGAGTGAATTTTCACTTATAAGTGTACTCAAACGTGACGTCATGCGACTTTTCAAATCAATATATCTCTGCAATGTTTATATTATGTGAAAAAAGAAAAAATACGTGTCCAATACTTTTTGATAATCTACCTGATAAATGAAGAAAAAAAAAATAGTCATCATCCCTATTTAATTTATTTAGACGTTTAATATTTAACTGTTCCTTCAGCGTATCAAGGATAAAGACTCTGACAAAAGTGAAACAGACAAAAGCGAGAAGAGCGAGAAGGATGAGAAAATTGAGAAATCCGACAAACAGAAGGAGAAACCGCGTACCAGCGACGGTGAGGATAGCGCGGACAACCAACCACTTATAGTCACCACAGCTGCACCAAAGTAAGTATATTATATATGTAAACAACAAATGGACTACCTTTTATTTATTTTTATTAACCAAGAAGATAAGTGCCTTTCTTTGCTAATGATAAAACCGTTACTGTTCCTGAGCTGTTTAAGAACAAACTCAGAATTATTTTTCTGACTGACTATAAATTCTGCTAGTTTACTATTAATCATAACCAGCAGTGCCCCAGCAAACGTCCCGCGTGCAATTGAATAATTGAAACACAAATAAGATTGATTTTGACAAAATTTAATGTCACCAACATACTTTTATAATCGGAAACAAACTTTATCCCGTGTCTGAAGCTCTCTGAAAGCATCCCTTGGAGCAATGTCACTTGGCACCACCACGTCACTTGTGAAGATGGTTAACCTATTTCATGACTTCTATACTTCCTGAATAACGTACATTAAAACAATGCTATTTTATGATTTTTCTTTCGTAACATATTATTTTAATTCTAAACAGAGTTGAGAAGGATAAAGAAAAGGAAAAAGAGCCAGAGAAAGATAAAGACAAGGAAAAGGAGAAAGAAAAGGAGAGAGAGAAAGAAAAAGACAAGGAAAAGGAGAAAGAGAAAGAGAGGGAGAAGGAGAAGGAAAAAGAGAAGGAGAAACCTGCGTTGCCCATCGAAGACAAGAGTGTTGTGAAACCGCGCTCCCAGTCGAAAACGCGCTCTATACCGCCGATTAAGCTGGAGTCCCGTGATAAGCGCACGCCTAAGCGGAGACCACTGTCGTCCAAGAGTAAGCTTACCCTTACATATGAAATTATAATTGATAATTACGCATCTGGTCAAACTTCATTTTTTTTACAGTCCGTAGGTTTCGGGCCTGTTAAATTTAATCTCAAATAATTCTAAATTAAAACCGCTTAAAACAGTGTTAAAATTACTGAATTTATAAATTAAAAACCATGAAAAGCTCATTGGAGGTATGTCATTCAGCTTTATACAGCCTCTGTAAAAATCAATTTTATGTAATTATACCGTTTTGTTCGCCAGCTCCTCAATTTTGTTTGAATAAAAATTCACAAAAGCTTATTTTAGCACAGAATGATCATGTGTCCTACAGTTCAAAATCATTGACTCGTTTACTCTCTCATAGTGAATGACGATTTTAGAATCAGTAGGGGAGTCCTTTTTCGAGTAAATACTTGCGTGCGATGTATTGCCGAACGTCTAGGGCAACAAAAACCTTATGTTATTCTGGCGCGCTCGAGTAAATCCAAAAATCCCTACTTTTATAGTTGAACTATCCACAAAATGTAACATTCAGTTTTAAAAGATGACTACTGTTCATGAAAAAGCAAAATAAAACTGTTTATTCTAAATAAAAGTTCTTAAATACATTGTGAATGAATCAGTTTAAAAGAATTCATAATTTTCTCCTTGTTAAAAAAATTTCGTCGCTGTTTTTTAATTTCCATATTTCCAACCTCGAGAGGAGCTCGATGGCGCAAGTGGTTAGCGCGTTCGGCTGCGATCGTTGAAATAAAGCAACTTTCGCAGTGGTCGGTCATTGGATGGGTGACCAAAAATTTACTATCTCGAGCTCCTCCGTGCTTCGGAAGGCACGTTAAGCCGTTGGTCCCGGCTGCATCTGCAGTCGTTAGCACCCACCAATCCGCACTGGGCCCGCGTTGTGGGTCATGGCCCATTCTCCCTATTCCATCCATAGGGAAGGCTTGTATCCCAGCAGTGGGGACATTAATAGGCTGATGATGATGATGATTTCCAACCTCGTATTTGTTGTTGATTTTTGTTTGTTTAACGAGGTTATGAATATTTTTGTGGATACTGTTAACACTGAAAAATATATAAAAGCTTATATATGACAGTGATTTATACAACTGTTGTAGAATGAGGGGTATTAAAACACGAATGTGGGTTTATAATATTAACTGAGTGTTTCAATATCTAATTACAACAGTTGCACACAAGACTTTATCTACACCCATGATATGAAAACCCTCTAAGAGCTCTAAGAGCTTATGAAAGTATGGCGCATTCTAAGAACTTAAAGTTCATGAAAAGTTTACGGTAGTGAAAACGTGTGAATACAACACAATATTTTTTTTGTTTAATTCATATCACACCTTCCATCAACAATTCTATAGATGACGGGTTGCATATAAAATCAAAGCTAAAATCTATCCGCACATGTTTAAACTTATGCAGCTACATGAACAAAGATAAATGTTTTAAAATAGTTTAAGTTGAACCTAATAACAACTATCCCACAAGGGAATAAGGTTACAAATAACAAAATGTTGTGATGCACATACAACCTTTTATCTTATACAACGAGCTCTTGTTCCTTTTATAAAATTATGTATATTAAGTAGAAGATCCGAACCTACGAGTACATCGACCTTCACCAAGCTGATATTAGAATAAAACATATTTTTTCATGAATTTAGTATAGTAGAAAATATATTAATAGGACAAACTGTATTTTTTAATTAATTATTAAAATATATTTTTAATTAAATTTTGTAACATCAAGATAAAAATAAAATGTTGTCCTGATTTAAAGTATAAAACGTATATACTAAATTCATGATAAAATATGTTTCGTTCTATTTATTATCAGCTTGGATATAGACTCGGATCTTAGACTATATCTGATACTCGGAAAACAATGATAAAGGTGAAAATAGGAAAATGTGAAATCAACCTACAAATTATGACCCACAATATAAAATACTTTTACCAGTCATTAGTCAGCGAGTCACTTCGTTTTGTATTAACTGAACTCATTTAAAATAAGAACTCACGCCACAAGTGAGGCTATATTTACTGAGAGAGATTTTACGCGCTGATCCGTCGGATCTATAGCATTGCTGATCGAAGTACCACACATCGAGCAGTAAAAATTGTGGATTTAACAAGCGAAAGAGTGTTATTATGAAATTTTAGAACATCAATAAAAAAACATCCAATGTCATAATTATAACACCCAAATGTTTTAATGTGAGCAATACTTAACTGTTTCAGAATCTTGAATAGAGGTTTTTAAGCATGAGGGATACATATAATTTAAAAGATAATCGTAGTGACTATTATAATAGCTTGTAAAAGCCATAATTGACTTTGATTACATACACGTCTAAATAGGGCAATACAAATAAACCACGCAAAGAAAACGGCTCATTTTACACGCAATGTGTTCGTGACTCTATTGCCAGATTGTTCGAAAGCAGTGTGCGTGAGTGGCGATAAGCGTGTCTACCATATGTAGTAGATATTTTTTGGGGCGCTTCATGCGGTATCTAGTCGTGTATATAATCAAAATTAATTGAATAAACAATATTGATATTAAATTTCTTTGTTTCATTAGGCGAAAGTGTGAGCGCGAATACATCGCGTGCATCTCGCCGCCCGCACGCTTCCACTGATAGCGACAGTTCGGGACGGGCGTCCAGGTGACAAATTTTGTTTATTCATTTTATAACTCTAATAAAATGTCTATTGCTGTTTGTGCTTATAAGTAGCGGCAAACTTCTTCAGCAAAACGAAAGAGAAATAAACTTGCGCAGTACACGGTTTTTGTATGTAAAATTACTACTTCCTTGCCTATGGTTGTTCCAAATAAGTTTGACGGTGTGTATACATGGTATATTTAAGGTCTCCAATACGATCATAACCTCGATTTAGTACTTGATAGATTGCGTAGACTTTATGCCTGCTAGCTGCTTTACGAACAGCTAAATATATAGATTTACTAACTAAAGATTATTCGTAATAAGTCAAATCTTTTATTCATTTCATAGAGGTGATGACTAACTTTGTTTTCTTCTTCTATCAGGTGGTACGTCAAAAGTAATTTATTAAATCATTACAGAGATACATTGGTTTTGAAATGTCAATGGTACAATTTTTACTTAGACGTGACGTCGCGAGCTCCCACTCCGAACCTTTAACTCGCTTTATCTTTCTATTTTTTTAGTTGTTGTACAAGAGAAAAAAATATGCCCATTAAATTTTGTTGTTCTAACTGACAAACTAAATAGAATTTCATTTACTTTACCCCGTCGTCACCTCATTCACCCAATTCATATAAATGTCTTACTTTATAATAATTTTGAATGTAGATGCGGGCTAACGAAAAAACTGCAAAGTCGGCGCAGTCAAAGCGCCAATTCGGCTAGTAGCGGCAACACTATTGCTTCCAACAGCAGTAAACGGCCGAGGAAAAGGAAAAACACTGAGTATGTACCTTATTTTGTCTTAACGTAAAGCTCAAATTCATAAAACTACAAAGCTGAACCCTATCCGCCTTATTACAAAACGTAGACTAAACTTAAACCTGGACTAAAACTGATGCTAGTACTTTCGTTTGCCAAAAAAAGACAGACATTGGGCTTAAACCAAGAGTAACTTTAGTCCGCGTTTTGGAATATGGGGATATCCTACATTAGAAATACGGAAGCTAATAATTAAAAAAAATCTCAATGTTGTTTTATCCCATATGTGTTAAAGTTGTCTTTTTTGATTAGGCAATGCTAATTGAGGAGCTAGCGAACAAAACTGTATAATTACGCATCTGGTCAAACTACTTTTTTTCTAACAGTCCGGAGGTTTCAGGCTCGTTGAATTTGAATCTCAAATAATTTTAAAATTACCAAATTTATTAATTTAAAGCCATGCCAAAACCGCACTGTAGGTATGTCATTCAGTTTTATACAGCTCCTGTAAAATTTTATTTTATGTAATTATACCGTTTTGTTCCCAGCTCCTCAATTTTAACAGGTCGTTAGGATGTAAATTTATGTATCTGACAAACTTGTTATCTCTAACAGGCCATCTACGAGTGAGCCTACACGTTCTGTCGTGACGAACTTGAAAGCCCAAGTTGGTGACAAACTAAAAGTTTACTATGGACCGACGCAGTCTGAGTCAAAGGTATTGTCCTATCTAATATTTTACATCTATACATATAATAAAATGGTAGGAAAGTCAAAACTGTACATTGAATATTTTTTTAAAAGAATACTTGGGGTTGTGATCTACAACCGATACCGAAGGCAAAAATATAGTTTTTAGAATTTTTGTCTGTATGTATATCTGGGATAAACTCAAACTGCTGTACTGCATGGATTTACTTCAAATTTGGTACGAATATTATTAAGAAGTTGGGTCCACATATAGGCTACATATTATCACGATATCACCCATGGGGAACGAGCAGTGAACCGTTATTTCTAACTAACTCCACGCGTACGAAGTCGCGGGCGGCCGCTAGTTGTAACAATAAACTGATACCACTGGCACTGTTCAATGATAAAAGTCTTGTGTCTTTTGGATGAGACTTTTTAGTATTTACAAGTGGCCGCCCGCGACTTCGACCGCGTTAACTTTTGTTTTCTGAGAATTACCCTTATGTCAATCCAGGTCATTAACTATATGCGTAGCAAATTTCATCTAAATCCGTTCAGTATTTTTTTCGTGATTGAGTAACAAACATACAAACTTACACATTTATAATATAAGTAGTTTTTATCTTCACGCCGAGTCCGGGTGGGATAGAGTAGTTTCTTTACTAGTACCAGTTAATATTCTTCATGTGAATTTAACCAAAACAACTTCATACAGTTGGCTTTAATTATTGAACATTGAATTTATTTTTTATATGTTCTCGACAAGCGATAGATATTACGATAATATGTTTTAGTTTGAAAAAATTCGGCAGGTGACGTACGAAGCGAAGGTGATAGAGGTATCGGCGGAGGGCTTGCTTCGGGTTCATTATACCGGGTGGAACAACCGCTACGATGAGTGGATCAAACCGCAACGTATAGCTCTTAACGTCACTCAACACGAAGCGCGCAATAAAAAGGTTAATACTAATCGATAATACTCGTGCAGCAAATTTGTTTAATCTCGATTCAACGTATATAATCACTATACTGTATGTAATTGTAAAGTTTGCTTAATCTGATTTAACTTTAGCACACAAGCCATCAATTTAACTTTAGCTCGTATAGTACAGTATTATAAATCCTTGAAAAACGGCGGACAAATTTGACTGAGTTTCTTGCGCTGCTTCTTCTCAGCACTGGCCCATTACTGGATAAAGTAATACTGGGACGTCCAAAAGTGCTTTTTATAAGCCTATTTACAAAAAAAAATGTCGTGACTTTTAACGAAAACCAAATTCAACCCATAAAGAAATTAAAATGTCAATTTGATATCATTTTATGTCCTAAATCTTGTTTCAGTTAAATTGAGATTTAGCAAAATTGCTACAAATATAACTTAATAATAGGTAAAGTTGCAAGAAATAATGTTATGCTTTTGTTTTTTAGAATACGGGCAGCAGTCGGCGCGTGAGACCTAAAAGAACTGAAGGTTATTACTTTTTAAAGACTAACAGTAACTATATTTTATTTTTATGCAGACTGCATGGATATTCAATAAATGTTAGATTCTTAACAATAATCACATTCACAGAATCTTCAGCTCGGTCGGATTCCGACAGCGACTCTGACAGCGATGAAAGTGTTAAGAGACCACCAAAGAAATTGGATGAGAAAAGTAAATCCAAAAGTAAGACAGTGCAATGACTGATAAATTACTTAAGCGTCAACAATTTTTATGGTGTTTAACCTAATTTTTGTTTTGCAGCTCCGTCTAGATCTAAAGACGCAAAATCTAGCGACAGTAGCAGCTCGAGCAAACCTCGCAAGAGGCCCGTGAGAAACATATCTACTCCCACTAATGTAACGCCAGCCAAGAAAATGCGCCCATCTACTTCCGGAGGACATCAAGGTCGCGATTACGATCTCAATGAAATCAGATCAGAGCTGAAAGGATTAAAAACGGTCAAACAAGAACCAGAAGAGCTGAAACAAGAAACTCCTGACAAGGAGACCATTCCCCCGTCACAAGCATCAGCTCCTCCACCGGAACCCCCTCAACCGGACAAGCAACCTGAAGACGTTTATGAATTCAAGGAGCCGGAACCTTTTGAATTAGAACTGCACGATGAGAAGAAGAAACGAACACATCGTATCTTTGACGATATATCCCCCAGTAAATACACTTCTACCCTATCCAAGTCACTGAGTGAAGAAATATCAGAAGATCCGTTAAGACCGCGACCTTCGACACATAGGTCGCCGTCGCTATCGCCGTTCAGAGATTTCGGAACGACTCGAGACGTCCCGGATCAGCAGAGCCCGGAAGATGACTCGAAAGATGGCTTGTTCTCGTTGGATGATGATTCGTTCCCTGGCGATGGCAGTTCTGGACCTATTTTCGAAGGCTTTACCCCGGCAAAGAACCAAGAGACCTATTCTAAAAAGAGTAAAGTGTCAAAACTGAGAGAGTTGATTGATGATTCCCCAGATAGTCCCGCCGACGACGAACAATCATCGGAAGATGAATCGGAGGACATTACAATGAAAGACGAAGACGAGGAAAGTAAATCTAGTTCTGTCGCACCTCTCGCGGAACTTCCCAAGTCGCCAAAACAAGAAGTGGAACCAGAGGAGAAAACTGCTGCGCCAGAACCAGAGAAACCAGAGATTGAAACCATTGAGGAAATGAAAGAAGAAATAAAAGCACCGTCACCTGAACCTCCTAAAACTCCTCCGCCTAAAACAATCGAGCTTCCAAATACAACTATCATTCCCATTTCTAATATCGACATTGTTGTAGAGAAGAAACCTGAACAAATAATAATTCTGGAGCCACCTTGTGATGACTCCCCTAAACTTCTATCTATTCCTCTACCTCCAACAGAGCCTAAAGAAAATATTCTCAGAGTCATTATTGAAAAAATTGAGCCCAAATCGGATCCTGAACCCAGTGTTTCCTCGAAAATAGAGCCACCTTCTAGTCCTCTCATAGACACGGAAGAAGACAAGTCAGAGCCAGATAGTCCAGCTAGAATCGACGTGTTGCCAGAACCTCCACCAGGTTTCTTATTACAATCGGAGGGACCTAAAATAGCTGAGAAGCTTCTGAAAGCTATCAACAGCGCCAAAAGACTTTCCATGTCTCCACCTCCTTTGGAAGATCGTCCTCTTACACCCAAAAAGGATACATTGAAAGTCAATAATCCTGAAGGCAAAGTATCACCAATTGCCATTGAATTGAAAACGAACTTAATAAAGATAGAACCTATTAAACCTCCGCCTAAAATAGTGGAGCCAGTAAAGAAGTTTGGTGTTACCGACTTAGGAGATTCAATATTTGGCGAGCCGTCGAATTTAACAGACGTCAAACGTGACTTGACCGATATAAAAAAAGTGAAACCGAAAGAGCCCACGCCTCCGAGACTACAGAGCCCGTTGAGTATATTGGAGCGACGGAAGAGCGTCTGCGATTTGCCCCTCAGCAATCCTGGGAAGAACAATAAAGTGCTAAGCGACACCATACAGAAACTTTCGAGTCAGATCAACCAGTCTGCGGCCACGGTGGCTGCCAACATACCCTTGCCGCCGTTCCCGCACGAAGACAGGAGTGAATCTAGCGATTCCGATGATTCCGACAGAAGGTAATATTATCTATGCCATGATCATGACTAAGCAGCAGCAAGTAGACCACTTGCAACAAATTTGAAAAATCTCTACTATAACTAACTATTTAACTACGACTAAATTTAGCCCATACAATGATGTTAAATTGAGATTAACGTTTTGACATTTTCTATCGGTTAATTCTAGTTTTAGTAAAATGAAGATTGAGCAAATTTGCTACATGTTAGCCTTTATAATTATAGTGCTCTCTATAGATTGTGAAGTAGAATCCATTGTTTATGAATTTCAAATACGCATACCAGGCAATGGACTGTAAATTTATACAAAAAAAAACTATTCATTAACATTATACTCCAATTCACTTACAATTTCTTAAATTACAAGATACAAGAGAAAAATCATTCTTACCCCTCGTTTACACCGAGAAACAAGTCATATACTAGTTTTACACAAAACTTGTAGAATACTTGTTGTGACATTCTTTCGTTTACACTGCATAGAAAACGAGTATATTTACAAGTATAAATCACAATTTTTTTCAAATAACTAATTTTCAATTTGTGTATCCATGCAACATTGATTTGATTGATGCAAGTATTTGCTTAAACATGGCATGCTTTAAACATGTATAAAAGTGTAAACAAAAATTTTTGACGTTAAATAAAATTTGTTATATACATTTATTATACCTAGGTGCCAACAATGCGTTAATGAGACCCACTGGTTGAAGTGTAGTTCGGCCTGGAGTCAAGTTCACGTCAGTTCCATTTACATCCACTTTTTTGTCACTCATTTTTTTTTCATTACATAGTTACTTACTTACATTACTTAATTTTTGTGATTTTTTGCCATTTATAATTTTGATAGCAAGTTTTCTTTATAGGGGGAATAGGGAGTGAAAAGGAGAATGTTGTCAAGTTTACAAATAGCAAATACGAAATGTCACGTAAAGTACCGGCGGTATGATGACAATATCAGCTACGAATCTTGAGAATATACCTAATATTGTAAAAAAATGTCAAAAACATAACCTCAAATGTATAATTCCGCAATTTGGTATAGGTTGATAATTGACAAGCTGTCAGTAGACGAGTGGGGTAGTGGCGGCAGCTCAGAGGCATCTCGCAGCAACGCAGCGTTAGCCGGCACCGTGCCGAGCGTTACTGCGCTTACTCAGGGCGCTCGCTCGCTGCACGCGGGCAAGTCGCCGGGCGAGTGGAGCGCGGGCGAGTCGCTGCTCATGCTTGAGGACGCGTGCAAGAACGAAAGGAAGCACAGTGAGTACTAGCTCCAATAGTGGTCATTGCTTGTGAAGATAGTAATGTATTGAATACCTTTTCACTTCTCTTTAGTCTTTTTATTTCTTTCTTATTGTTTAATTTAAGATTACTAATGTTTTTGAAGCATTAGACAACAAATATTAGTGCAAACCAGTTAATCACTTATTTCGGAGACATGTAGACACAAAACTACGCTTATTTTACATTACAACAACACTACGAATCAATTCACAAAATTAAAACTTTCGTCAAAATAACCGTCTTAAACTCAATCGTCAATCTACAATCCAGGCGCGAGCGTGGTAGTAGCGGGCAGCGGTCGCGTGGGAGCCGGCAACAACGCAGTGGCTTGTACTAGCGGAGCGCTAGTGGTCGCGGGCAGCGCGCCCGTGGCCGCGGCAGAGGAGGACAGCAACATATCGCTGTTGCTGTGCGAGGAGACCATACCTGGCTCCCCGGCGCCTGACAGTGAGCCGGCACCGCCCAGGCAGCGCTTGCACATGCCGTTTGCGTGCGCGCCACCTCACCACTCGCACTCCAAAGGTTGGTCGATGGTGTTTATTTTAACGAGTTTATTCATAGGTTGGTGGTTGATCCGGCTCGAAGGACCACAAATATGTATGGTCGCTACCAAACAGCTTTCCATGATAATAGCAAAGTCTGTCAAAGGTTTAGAATTATCTCTCCGTCTCCGTTTCGCATGGCTCGAAGGACCATTAACAACGACCGCGTCAAATGGAAGAAGTTATGTATGGGAGATTTTTAATTCTCGTTATATCCGTTGTGGCGCTATTCTAATTTCCATACAAAACTTCTTTGTAATTTGACGCGTATCAAGGTCGGATTCATCTATTCGAATCCGATATTAGTCCGTGTGCTAAGGGTACTGATTTATTATTATTATTATTAAATGCAGCCATTCAATTAGTTTTATTCGGTTCGCAGAAGAGCGGCGAGGGGAGGGCGCGTCTGGGTCGCGGGCGATAGCGGGAGCGGGCGCGGAGGCGGTTGTTGCCGGGGCGGGAGCGGGCGCGGGGGGAGGGGGCGGGGGAGGATGGGTGCGCCGGCACGCTCTATTGGACAACACGCCGCCCACCACGCCCGACAGCAGCCTCGACATGTCGCCTCACAGGTGGGTCACTATGTCATACTAACCAGACATGAAGGGTGGACTGAAGAGAGGAGCGGCCGGGTCTACGGCTGTAGCAGTAAGAGGGGAGTGGTGCAGTTAGACAACACACGCTGTCCACCACGCCCGACAGCAGCCTCGACATGTCGCCGCACAGGTGGGTTACTATATCATACTAACCAGGCATGGAGGGTAGACTGCGGAGAGGAACGGCCGGATCTACGGCTGTAGCAGGGAGAGGAAAGTGGTGCAGTTAGACAACACACTGTCCACCACGCCCGACAGCAGCCTCGACATGTCGCAGCACAGGTGGGTCACTGTCATACTGACCAGGCATGGAGGGTGGACTGAGGCGAAGTGGCTCTGGATCTATAAGAAGCAGGCGAGGGGGGGATGCAGTTAGACAACACGCCGTCCACCACGCTCGACGCACGCACGCTCACAGCAGCCTCGATATGTCGCTGCACAGCAAACTTTCTGCACTTGTATCAAAATCACACACATGTAATTTACTTAATTTCTTTTATTTCTAGGGAGCGTCGAATATCAGAACGCGACAGTCCTTCAGAGCGTAAAGACGATGAAGACGAAGGACGTCCAAATAACATATCTCCTCATGAAATTGATAAACCGCAAGGTATGTATCCCAAATATAATGTGTGCACTTAAAGCTCGGTAAATTGAGTTTTTCTGTGAACACCGCGCATAGAGATTTAAGGCCATAAACGATCAGTAAAAACTTTTCGTACCATTTTGTATGAAACAAAAACACAATGATCGTGTCAAGGAGGACAGAAAATTAGCAAGGAGACTTTATGCAAGCTAGCGGAATATTCGACTAAATGTAGTATATTTTATTGAATACTGGCTAATGTGAAGTTGTAATGTATGTATACGATTTATTTGTGTGGCAAATTTGACTTTAGTTGCTTTATTACAAAATGTTGAGTAAATTTAAACCCCATCTGAAAATTATATTGTCACCTTTGTTTGTTAAAGAGGCCACAGAGACAAAATTATTTTTATATTAAGTTTAACGTTAGTCCACGTTTTAGAAAAGGTGGTATATGTAAGTATCATCATCAGCCTATGAATGTCCTCACTGGTGGGGCACATGCTTTTCCTATGGATGGAATAGGGAGATTGGGCCATGATCCAATACGCAGGCCCATTGCGGATTGGTGGCTGCTAATGACTGCAAATGCAGCCTGGGCCAGCGTCCTAACATGCCTTCCAAAGCACGGAGGAGCTCGAGATATTAAATATTTGGTCACCCATCCCATAAATAAATATTTCCAACACTCACACCAATTAGCCTAGCCCCAAAGTAAGCACTGTAGGCTTGTGTTACTAGGGAAACGGATAGAATACATAAACTGATACATATATAAATATATTTTATAAAGAAATACATATTAAACATTTGTGACTGGAGAACAAATGCTCGTTTTCATCACACAGACATTTAACCCCACCGGAATTCGAATCCAGGACCTCTCGAGTAGGCGTCACCTCGAAACCGGACGCACAAACCACTCTGCCACATCGTCGCCAATGACTGACCACTGTGAAAGTTGCTTAACGATCGCAGCCGGACGCGCTAACTACTTGCGCCGCTAAAAGTGTCCGTCTAGTAGAAAGAGAAAGAAGATGAGAAACCGCTAGCTATCTTTCTCTCTCTTGTGGAGCATGCGCAGTCGTCTGACCAATAGTTGGTCCAAGCATCACATCGAAATAGTAAGATGCTTACGGTTGCCAATGCTCATGCGCGATTAGAGAGAGACAGCTAGCGGTCTCTCATCTTCTTTCTCTTTCTATTAGAGGGACACTTCCACTTGTAGTAGTCTATTTTTTATTTTTTTTTGTTTCCTCCCAGGCGTGGGAGCGGCTGTGAAATCCTCATGGAAACCCTACAGCCGGCTGTAGGGTTATGTCAGACTCTTACTGACTAAAACACACCCGTGGGGGATGCCTATGGCCTTAGGGGCCTTACAGGCTTCATCTGATGCGACCAACCCCTGAGGAGGGGATGATACAGAAAGAGTCTATGTCTCCCCTACTCTATTCTTATACCTCTATGGCGGCGACCCTAATTAGTGAGCTATCGTCGCAGGGTCGCGGTCACGCAAAGCGTCGGAGAGCTCCGCGTGCGCAGGTTCCGGTGGCGCGGGCGCATTGGCCGGGGCCGGTGGGGCCGCGGGGGCCGGCGGGGCGGGCCGCGGCAGGAGCAGGCGCGCGCGCCGCGACACCGACGACCAGCACAACGCGCACGCGCACGGGCACGGGCACGCGCACAACCCCGCCAACAAGTACAACTTCTACGTGGAGCTGGGTGAGGGTCCATTTTTTGAAGTTTTTTTCGACGGTTAAAAACTTAGATTAAAACAAAAAGGTAAGTGATCCGCTTAAATAGGGGTGATGACTATTTTTTCTGCGTTTATCAGGTAGATTATGAAAAAATATTGGACACGTATTTTTTCTTTTTTCACATAATATAAACATTGCAGAGATATATTGATTTGAAAAGTCGCACGACGTCACGTTTGATGAACTTATAAGTGAAAATTCACTCAAAAGTGACGTCACGAGCCCCTACTCCCAAACTTTGATGCGCTATAACTTTGTAATTTTTTGGTTGATTGCCCAAAGAAAAAATACGTGTCCATTATTTTTTGATCATCTAACTGACGGACTAAATAGAATTTCGTTTACTGTACCCCGTCATCACCCCTATTGTGGTGCATAACCATAATTCGCTTTAGTCACAATTAGACATTCAAACATGCTGCATGCGTACTCAATATAACAATATTGCGTATATTCTGTGTTATGAAGATAAAACAATGCCTTCGATGCTTTTATAAAGAACACAAATAGTTCAAAATCAAATAAAAAGATTCCCTCGGTAACACTTTTCATTCGTAAAACTGTAAAAACATTTTTTCTCAAATGTTATTTAGTGAGAGTTACTTATGTAGTTGAGTCGGATCATATTTTATTTGATGCTAGTATGAGCGTACCGTAGCTTCCCTTTTTGTTTTAATCTTAAGGTTAAAAAAAAAGTATAAGGCTCATAATTTACTTCTTTTTCAACATTCTGTCAGAACATCATAATAACGATATTTCGTCGAAGTCGAACCCCCTTATGATAAATGATCTTTATATGCGGCAATTGATTTTAATTTGTGCGCCTTTAAGTATTCGTAGTTTAATAGTACATATCAGTTAAGTATGTCGAACTGTTGTGGGTATGTTTAGTGTATAACGTTGGCGTGTCTTTTTTTAATGAAATTAATTTAAACTTAGCAGAATAGCGTAATACAACTTGTTATTGACGTCAAAAAAAAGTATGTATGACCCTAACAGTGTCACTGGGTTTGGGAACAGCGAGATCCTACAGGGATCACAAGCTAGGAATTGGCGATTGCCTCTAGTGGTATTCTAGAATACCATGGCCTAGGCGGATGGCAACTCCCCACGAGGGGAGTCTCCTCTCCGTCTACTAAAGCCACTCAAGCCTGAAGGCACTCGGGTGAGGGATATGCGACACTCTTCTATGTAACGTATGGGCAGGTGTGACGGAGATACACAACCCCGCCTTCAAGTACAATTCTACGTGGAGCTGGGTGAGGGCTCCTTTGTTTTTGACTGTGTATGTTGTTGGTCGCAGATGATCTTAACAGCGTCACTGGGTTTGGAAACTGCGAGATCCTCAAGGGACCTCAAGCCGGGAGTAGGGTTGGTAGGTAGGTGTTGAGGATAATTTACGTAGCCAGTTGGCGCCACTGTGATGTAAGGTCTTTTGTATGAAGTTTTTGGTGCGAACTAATCAAACCAACTTTTAAATTAATCCATAGACTATAAAGATATACGCGATTTGACGGATGAACAGACCTTTCATCTCAGTGCTGACTGCTGGTGCCCGTCATTCGAGAAAACCTCTGTGAAGATTTGCGTCTAGGTGAATGGAAACTCCCCACGAGGGGAGTCCTCTCTCCGTCAAGAGTCACTAGGCCACTCGAGCCTGAAGGGAGCTAAGGGGTTGAGATCCTTCAGGGCCTACGCTGCATTAAGCGGGAGCAGCGACGTCCGTTCCGCGTGCAGTGTCATGTCATTTCATAGAACACCGCCTCACGCAGAACTGCTATAAATGCGCTGCGATTACTAGTAAAAATCTTTCTTTAGCTTACCACTTTCCTTCTTAGTATCCATCAAGAAATGACTGTTTTTGATTAGGAATACATTTTTACGCATTCATTTGACCGTTGTATATTTATTTCTAATGCCAGATCCATCGTGGGACTGTCCGACGCGCATCAACGTACTGACGTCACGCCTGGCGGATCTGCGCAAGGCGTACCACTCGGTGAAGGCAGAGTTGGCTGCCATCGACCGCCGCCGCAAGAAGCTGCGCCGCAAGGAGAGGGAGGGTGAGTTGAACCGAACAATTAACTCATTATTCTCATCACGAATATATTTGTGACATCTGCGTGAGGCGTACCACTCAGTAAGGCGGAGCTGGCCGCCATTGACCGCCGCCGCAAGAAGGACAATTAAATCATTACTCTCATCACAAATATATTTATGACATCTGTGCGAGGCGTACGAGGTCACTCGACGAAGACGGAGCAATGCCTGTCATCAAGCCCCCTGCCCTTAAAGGTGATTCTGGTAAAAAAATCTATACCATATTTTATCTAAACCGGTTCAGCGGTTTAAGCGTGAAGAGGTAAAGGACAAAAACTTTCGTTCTTTTTCCCCCATTCCCAGTCGCCCCCGCGAGAATTGCCACCGGAGGCAAATGGAAATCCAGTCGTTGCACCCACCCAGTGCACCGCTGTTCGGTGGCAATCACCGCGGACTGGGAATAAAGGTTTCGTTTGTTTTAAGAACTTCGGCGTGAGTGTTTCTTTGTAATTTATTTGTATTTTATCATTTTCCAGCTGTGAAGGCTGCAAAGGCCGCGTGCTCATGATGAAGGTTGTTCTAGGCCGCTCCAAAGCGGCGCGCGACGGATCTCAGGGGTTCCAACCGGCCGTTCATTCGTTTTAGAATGAATTAGTGCATCACATTAGTTACCTTGTGATCATCTAATTACTTTGTGGCTTGGTATAATACAAATAGCTAAGATGCAACCAGTCTTCAATATGTATTAGATTGTAGATATTTAAGGATTTTATCTTTTATGTACACAAATATCGAATTATTTTTGTTTCTTGTTTTATACACGTGTATATAAATCGACTTAGTAAAATAGTAAAATTTTATTACATTATTTTATGATGAACATTATTACTGTATATATATTTCTTTCCTGTCTCTCGATGATAAAATTATGACAGCTACAATCTCATCAACATTTTTCTGGTTATTTAATAAATTGTCGAATCTACTTTTGCTCTCGTCTATTAAATCTTCATATTTTGATTCAGGTTGAAATGACAGATAAATTACTCTTTAAAAAATCTGTTGTAACTATCTGTATTGTTAAGTAATAACTTTAAATTTATAAATATATTATGGGCAATCAATAAAGAAAATAATTCATTGTTGTCTCTATATTAGCTTAAACAAACTGCCACTGTGTCGAAAAGTATAATATGAGCAGTATCTCAGTTTAGCACATACGCGCTCGCTGATCAAGACTGAAGAATGAGAAATAATTACAAAAAAGTAATGTGACAACTATATTTATTTCCCAAAGCATGAAATTTTTCAGAGTTATTATAAAGGTTTTAATAAACATTCTTCACGATATCATTGCTTTTTATTTTTTCAATTTTACCGTCAAGACACTCCTTATTAATAACTTAGAATAACTAAGAATGTTCTCACAAAATTCATAGATTGAATACATAACATTCAAGTCACTTACACGTAAAAAATATAATCTGCAATTGCCGAATTCTTAAAATTAGTTTTGCTGAAATTCAAGAGCGTGGAAACGTTTGTGTACTTCAAAGGTACCCGTGGTCTACGTGTTAAAGGTGGGTTAGTAGTAGTTGGGGTATTGTGGCCAGGGTGCGTGATGCTGGTAGGGCCCGGGGGGTTGCTGGTAGCCCCAGGGGGGTTGGTAGGGCTGCGCGTAGGACTGCTCGTAAGACTGCGCCGTGGCTGCCGGCGTTTGGTAGTAAGAACTGGCTGCTGTAGTAGTGGCGGCGCTCGCACTAGTACCGTCCTTCTTCTTAGACGCGTCACTTGATGCGGAGCTGGAAATATATGAACGTTTATTATATTTTTGATGTGTAACATCTTTCCTCTCGCTTTCCTGCAATTTGTGGGAGTGACTTCGTGAAATGGGACGGAAGTGTAACAGGAAGTCACGAAAGCGCGCGCTATTTTATATGATTTTAGAACAATGTTCAAATGGCTTATTCCTTTTGTAGTAGGTTTAATTTCTTTTTTAATAATATATGGTGAGATTTCAAATGTTACACATCATACGCGACTACTATAAGGCTCGCTGGTTTTTTTTTTATTTAGCACAGGGTTATTATCCTTGCGTGAAAATCAGGGTATTCAATCTTTCATGTACATACTGTTGTCAAGCAAGAAACTTATTAGGTATTTATTTTAATTTAAGGCATTTAACTGCTACGTGTGTATAAAGAAAATTTTATTAGAAAAATTCCCCGTGGTCCAGGCAGCAGACGGGATATATATATACGTTTATCGCAAAACAAAAGTTAAATTAAATTTTATAGGTAATTAATCATTACCGTAAGTGAGGGTTACTTTAGCTCGGGCGGGTAACTTTGTCCCAAATCAGAAAAAATATTGAACTTGCCGCCCCATCAGTATCTCTTGGGTGACCGTAATAGTTCCAGTTAAAAATCACAGATAGCCATATAGGCGCGTAGTGTGGTGTTGTTTTACCGACATCGTTCCTGTATCAAGTTGTCATTGTAACGCGGGATTTTTTGTAACTGAAATAATTCGCAAGTTCATGCGCAAACTTTCTCAAAACTGTGGTTTTTGGTAAGTTTACTATTTTTTCTAAATTTAAAGTTATTTTTGGGCAAAAATATCCATTTGTGTATTCAGTATGCTAATGGTGATCTGTTATAAGTGTTACTTAACCCCAACATGGCTTAAAATGAGTTTTTTTTCACAGAGAAAACTCAACGAGCTAAAGTAACCCTCTTTAAGGCCAACTTTGGCCCAAAATTTAAAAAATAATTATTAACCTTAAATATTATTTTTTCCTAATTTCGTATGATAACTTTGTAACTTATACTTTAAAGTTCACAATGGAAAGATATAAACGTGACATATTCATAACAAAGAGAAGCCACAAATTTTTTTGAAAAAAAAGTGCACATTTTAGGTCAAAGTAACCCGCAGTTACTCGGTACTTAATTTTTTTTTTTAAGATTTAATTAAGTTTTTAAGTATGAACATTTAATAAATACAACCAGCATTGCTCAGATCAGACGTCACATGGTTACGTGCATTAAAGGGGTCCTTTCCGTCCTCTCGCAAGTGCACCCGCGAACGTTATGATGCGGAGTTGAAGTAATGAGCACATATTCGTAGAAGTCCACTAAAATAAAGATAAGTAACTGAGCGAAGCGTACCCTATTGATCTGATCCCGGGTGGCTCTAGTGAGAGCTGAATCTCGCGCTACTGTATAGTGCTATTCAAACTTTATGGCGGTTGTGTAGTTATCAACAACAATGCGCAGGTGTCAGTTCAGTGATATCTAGTATCTAGAGTGATATATATCCTGTGCGCACCAATTAACCCTACATTTCATTAACTGCACCTAATTAAGTTTGACACTAAGAACTCACGAAGCTATTTTTGACGGCGCTCGCCACGGCTACAGACCGCAACTCGCGTAGAATGTAAAATTTTACGTGAAACATAATTCCAAAATTAATGGCGAGATATAAGCCTGCTGAGTGCGCTATTGTTTGCGGCACCCGCAACACCAGCGGGCACGTGCGGGACCCGATCTCCCACAAACGCGGTCTTCATCCGATATTCTCTGGTTAAGTTTACGAGCGATCTCGCGACGGCTGCAAGACTTAAACGATGGCCGTTGAAACATGGTTCCAAACCCATACAGTTAAACTACAATACAAACGCGATACGTATACAGACAATACAAAATATGTACTTTGAACAATTAAGTATCTCCAAATCATTGGGTAAGATAATGTTAAATGGAAATCCCATGATCGGCGTGTTGATCGCGATTTTTTCGCCCCGCCCACTTCAATTATTAAACCAGTTTTTAGCGCAGTTCGTATCGTATACCAGTCCTTTCTGATTCATTGACTCAACCGCACATAACTGCGGTCCCGGGAGTAATGAAATAAACAAAATTTCTCTGCGGTCGGCCAGCAAAACCGCTTGGAGTTAGCTTGGGGTCATAACACAGGTTTTGTAACCTAGTACAATTTCCAGCTCTCTCAAAGAACTGCATTGTTTTTACTGTTATTGTCATTCAATACCCTATTACCTAATTAAAATGTCACTTTGTGACTTTGTGAGAGAAAATAAATCATTAATTTTTTTACACCAATTAGCCTAGCCCCAAAGTAAGCATTGTATGCGGCTTGTGTTATGGGATGCTAGGGTAACGGATAGAATACATATACTGTACATATATAAGTATAATTATATAGAAATACATATTAAACATCCATGACTGGAGTACAAACGCTCGTCGTATTCATCACACAAACATCTGGCCCCACCGGGATTCGAACCCGGGACCTCCCCAGTCGGCTACACCATGAAACCCGGCGTATAAACCACTCGGCCACGGAGGTCGTCATTTATTCATTCATTGTACCTGGGCGGGGGCGGGGGTTCGTGCTTGTCCTTGCGCGCCCGCTTGCGCATGTGCTTGGCGAGCGCGCGCGCGTGCTGGTGAGCCCTGCGCGCCGCGCCCGCGTCCCCGAGCTCCTCCGCCAGCTCGCGGCGGCGCCACGCCATCGCCGCCGATACCTCCACCTCGGCGCCCTCCTCGCGCTCGTACGAACCGACCAGTTCTGAGACAAACAAATACTTAATTATAATCATTTATTTATACATTTAATAAAATGGTAGGAAAGTCAAAACTGTACATTGAATATTTATTTAAAATAATACTTGGGGTGTGATCTACAATCGATACCGAAGCCAAAAATATAGTTTTTAGAATTTTTGTCTGTTTGTCTGTATGTATGTCCGGGATAAACTGAAAAAGTACTGCATGGGTTTACTTCAAATTGGGCACGAATATTATTAAGAAGTCGGGTCAACATAAAGGCTACATATTATCATGCTATCACCTACGGGATACGAGCAGTGAACCTTTATTTTACTAACTCCGCGCGTACGAAGTCGCGGGCGGGCGCTAGTTTCGTTAACAATAATAAAACGAAAAATAATGAATTTTAAAAATAAATAGTTATTCAATGTTATAAAAAATATATTAATCAGTCCAATTAATGCAAGGATTTATCATTAAAAAAATATTATATCCACGAAGAAAAAAAAATTAAAAACAATAAGAACTACAGTGATGTCGATTCTGGTAAGCTACTCTTTTAAAACTGAATTTGACATCAGTCTCTTCTTTTCATCCGGTATAGAGAATGACAGGGATACACTGTTGTCAAATTTTCAGAAGGAAAAATTTTCATTTTTCACAATAAATACGTCCTTATGCCAGCACTTCACTTGGCTATTTGTAAATGATGATATCAGTCTGCCCTTTTCATTCCTTGTAAAGCACGATAAAGATAGACTATTGTCAAGTTTACAAACAGCCAATACAAATAGTCAAGTGAAGTGTCGGCATCATCAAAAGAAAAGAAACACGACACAAACCTTCCAGTTCCGCATAAGCGACGCCAGGGGTATGAAGCGCCAGATCTAATCTCTGCATGTGTAATCTTTGGTTCAATGGATCCTTTGTGATGGCTTCGTCAAGCACTTTCCTCGCGGCTGCGGGATCTTTCCTCACGTGGAATAAGAAACGAGCGTATTTGATCGTCAGAGCTGAAGCGATTGTCTTGTTCTTAGCAGATGCGATGTAACCTTCGTATAGCTGCACGCATTTATCGAAGTCGCCTCTTCGACGCTCAAGATTAACACGCCTAGAAATATTATAGTATGCCGTTAAAACAATGCTTCTTTATTTGATATGATCTCATAGACGTCTCGTAAGACCTTTGAAAAGATACCCATAGTGCAATGGACAGACAGTCCTCGTACTTACGGCATGTTAGGTTCTCGAAATACGCGACGTAAATAAAAACGACCCAAGTTGAGACGTATTTTTTCATATGTTTACATGTAAAATTCAAGGGTTGGGATCCACATAGACTCAAAATGTCTTGTTTAGGTGGCATAGTTACATTAAAATCCACTTAAATATGTAAAAGCCAAAACTGCCAAAGATGCAAAAAAAACTAATGTATTCCTATGCCGGACATCGAAACAATTGACGTATGTTTGAGGAATAGTGTCAAAATATTGTTCGACGTAACTTGAAACGACGTAATTCGTAAAGACGTAGTTGGAGGACTGCCTGTGATTAGAAGACTTATTTTAATTAACATTTTGACATTGTTGTTATTTCAATTTTAAGAGTTTAGGTATCCTATGTTACCCGGGATGGTGAAAGGATTCTAACGATAATACACACAACTAAATCGGTTTAGGCCTTTATAAGTAATGGTGGACATAAACCCCGAATACATAATTTTTTTTTGACAGTCGTGTAAGTGGTTTGTTTTAGCATGTAAGGTTCAAATTTATTGAACATTTTATTTAACAGTAGTTAAACTCAAAGCTTATTACCACAAAAAACTTTGAATGCATTGAACACGACTTACAATTGCTACTATATCGCAACCTAAACTTGGTTATTTATCTCTTCAATACACATCAACAAATCGTCTTAAACAATAACAAAAGATAAGAAAAACTAACGTAACATCAGTACAAAGTTTAGGTAAATGAAACAATTCTTATATAAGTATAAAGCGCGATATATTATGTTACTAAAAGGAACGACATTTTTTTTAAGAAGTGTAATAGATTGCAATTTAAGACAGTTTAAAAAGGTGTTTAATTAAATTGTTTGTATAATGTATTATTATTGAGGAGCTCGATAGCGCAGGTGGTTAACGCATTCGGCTGCGATCGTTGAAGTTAAGCAACTTTCGCAGTGGTTGGTCATTAGATGGGTGACCAAAATTAACGTGACTGTGACGTTAGAACCAATCAATTCGCACTGGGTCCGTGTGATGGGTCATGATTGCCCAATCTCCATATTCTATCCCTAGGGCAGGCCTCTGCCCTAGCAGTGGGGATATTAATAGGCTGATGATTATGATGATAATGTATTAATACCTGTACTGTATCTGGACTAGAGTTGGGCAAGTCTTCTCAATACGGTCCAGTATCTCGGCTGCCTTGGCTTGATTGCCCTGCACCTCTTCGAAGTGAGCCCAGTGAAGGTGCAACTCTGGTTTGTCGAGGTGGTGCACGGTACAGGCGCGTTCCAACACTTCCCGCTCAACCGCTATTAGTTCCGGTTCCGTTTCAGCCCGTTCTTCGAGGAATTTTATCAACTGTACGGTTTAAAATTATTTTGTGAAATTTATCATCAGTTTGTAAGATAAAATGTCTAAGTGCCTTTATTTCTCATGCAATACAAATTAGGTTCTGCATATAGATAATTGTTTATTAATTAAATTCTCTTTTGTAATTTTTATCTATAAGACACTACTATATTGCGATACCCTGACAGGGTTCATGTTAAGAAAAGTAGCTGTCAGGGTATCGCCGTTATATATATGACCGTTTGTTGAAATTTTGTTTTTGCTGCCCTAGACGTTCGGCCCTACATAGATAGCTCGGTTATAGTGGGATTACTTAACTAGTTACTCTGCCGCGCTCGAGTTAATCCAAAAATCCCCGCTTGGGCTCCCCTACTATTACAGCGGCAACAGAAATACATCTGTGAAAATTTCAACTGTCTAGCTATTATGGTTCATGAGATACACTCTGGTGACTGACAGATAGACGGACGGAGGAGTCTTTGTAATAGGGTCCAGTTTTTAGCCTTGGGGCACGGAACCCTAATAAAAACGACACGAAGAAATTACGTTTCATTTCGCACTTACCCTCATCCAGAACTCCTCGTACAACGCGCAAGCAATAAGGCACCTCTCGTGCAGAACTAAAGCGCGTTTCAGCGAGCCGTGCTGCTTCTCCCACTCTAAGTATGCCTTCCAGTTCTTTAGCTGACAACGTTCCAGGGGCTTCACGTGGAAATACGGCCGTTTTATCTGTTTATGGACAAGTGGATGGACAAGTTATTTATAATTAAATCAGATTTAGTGATAATCTCAATAAATATCCAATCCAATTATCACAATCAAAAATAACCATATAAAACAATATTTATCTTCCAATTATAATTTTAGTGTTGTTAATTTGGAAAGCGCATCCTCTCTTCTAACCAATTGCGTGCCCGACGGGGTCTCCATAATGCTCATATTTTAAGTACCTACCACCCACTGTACACATTATGGTTGGAATAAACGATTTGAGATTGAGTGAATTAAATGATCTAATAGACCACTTGACAGTATGAAAAATAAAGTAGCAATTGTTACACATCCTGTATTGAACAAGAATAGGCACCGATTGCACTATTCTGAGAGAAAAGTTAGTAACACGGAGGAAAAACAAAGAGGAGCTGGCCTAAGCAACTGTGCACTGTGATTTTCAACTAGGTCCTGACGTCATCATTGTGGGCGGGGCCTAAGTCAGTATGCTTTCAGCGTTCGTCAGGTGCACACTTAACGAGACTCGCATTATAAGTGTTTTTTTGCGTTTTTAACAAGAAAAGGATGAAGTTTTGTGTTTTACTATGTCAAAGTTACTCAGACAGACGTTCTGATAATATGGATGGCATCACATTTCATTTGTAAGTAATTTTATACGTAATTAAATATATAAGTTCTAGAACATTCTCAGCCTCAGCTATCAGCGTTAAAATTCTACTACTTGACACCAGATGGCGACACTTTTAGGAAGAAAATACACAAGTTTACGTATAATTTTGCAGTAGTATAATGTAATAATCATACGTAAATACTGAAAACTGCTATACACTTATTCCTAAATAACTTTTAGTATCTAAAACAGTAATTTTATCAATATATAACTAACTGGCCGCCATCTGTCGTCATATAGAATAACTTTTTAAACGTTACAAATATCCAGGGCCGTAATACGTATTAAATTATTTTACCAAGTAAATAAATTTTAATTATTTTTATGTTCGTTTTAGATGTCCATCCAACGATAATTTAAAACAGCAATGGATTTTAAAACTTAATAGACCGGATTGGACACCATAGAAGAAGAAAATATTTCCATTTTAAATGAATCTTCTGTGCAAAAAATTAATATTACATCAGAACGTTATCGCATTTTAAATAAAATGAGTTTCGAGTCTTCGGATAGCACGGATTACGAGCCTATGCCTGACGATATGTTATTGGAATTTGATGAACAATTAAATACAACTATAGGTGACTATTTGCGCCGTCAAATAGTAGCATATATTTCTGGGTATGTGGTCAAATATTTACATTCCAAGATCAAATGTGAGAGCTGTCTCAAAGAATTATATGCTGATAACTACGACGATAGTGACCTTGATTTGATAAAATCTAAAAATAAGGGTGGTGGTCTTACTTACCCATCTAGAGATGTCATAAAAATATGTATACGGACCGAAGACAGTATTCGTTGTGTTAAATCGCAATCTTTGAATACTCCTAACTTTCGTAAACATAAAATTGTATCGAATACATTAAAATCACTTATTGGACAAGATTGTTTCAAAAAATCGGCCAACCATATGTTTGACCAATCACCTACAGTTAATCATGTTGTATTTCTGATGAAATCGATTGCAGAAAAATATATTGATATTCGTTTTAAGCATTTTGCCACAATACAAAACGATAGGGCAACCAACCGGCAACAACTAACCAAAACTATTATTTACAGGTAATTGATGTTTTTTAATAAAATTATGTTTGTAATAACATTTTGTCTATTATTTTTAAACTACCTTAAAATTTAAATCTAAAGAAAATAGAACTAGAAAAATATCCACGCGGACCAGGCAGCAGACGGGAGCGGGTGCGGGTTCGAGTCCCGTCTGCTGCCTGGTCTGCCTGGATTTTTTTTCATCAAGCAGTTACATGTTTTAAAATAATAAAATTTATACCTTAAAATTTTTATAATCGGTCAAATTTGTCAACGTTTATTTTATTTATTTACCTACATATTTAATTTTTTTGAAGCTTCAAGTTCTGAGTACGTCCCATTATAAACAAAACTTTTGACATCTAGTGTTAGATAGCTGAACTACTACGTAGTAACATAAATATCAACCTAAGCTAGTTTTGCTATTAGCCGATAGATGAAATATTGAGAAGTGGGCGGAGCTGAACACCCCGCATCCCGCAAATTATCACGCGTCGTTTCTTGAGGAAATTTAATCACCACACCTCCTCTTTGTTTTTCCTCCGTGGTTAGTAATTATTTCAATCACTAACTTAACTTGTCTTGAGAAATCATTAAATATAAATGTTTTTTTCTATGGTCACGTGAACGAAAAAGCCTGGGATTAGCGAAGACTAAAATGACGTCACACGCTAGTAAACCTCCATTCAAAGTGACATTACATTACATTGTTTGTCATTTTTATGAAAGAAGTGGTATGTGACACCAGTGAGACGCCATAATGCCCAGAGAACCGCTTTCGCGGCAACTTGAAAATTGATTTTTGATTTAGTTTTTTTACTGAAATACACAACACAATGATGAATTTAACGGTCTCCATAAACGTTAGTAGGTTACTAGAGATCGTTTTCTAAAACTTATCAAATACCCATTGTTGCACAAGCGGTTTTTTTAATATTTTGATGCTTTCGTCATTTGGCATACAAAAAAAATATTCACTATTTCTAGTAAAACATTTATCATCATAAGCCTATTAATATCCCCACATCTGGGGCACAAGCCTTCTCTATGGATGGAAAAGGAAGGTGAGACCATGACCCACCACACGGGCTTAGTGCAGAGTGGTGGATACCAATGACTGCAGATGCAGCCGGGACCAACGGCTTAACGTGTCTTCCGAGGAGAGGAGACGGAGAGGCTCGAAATAAAAAATTTTGCTCACTCATCTAATGCCCAGCCATTGCGAAAGTTGCTTAACTTCCGCGATCGCAGACCGAACGCGTCGGCTATGATCAAACGTTATTATAACAGTAAAATACGTACCCCCTCTTCGAAAGTCCATCGTGCGGTAACTTCCTCACCAGTAGCTTTGTGAATCTTCCTTCGGGCCGCGATAATGCGCTCCTTTATAGACTGAGCTTCTTCTTCAGATGCCTGTTTTAAAAATACAATATAAAATATACAGTTTTGTTGTTAACAATAATGGTATTTATGAGTTAGGGCAATATTTGGTTCGGCAGTATTTGTCGAACAACAAAGCTAACCCGAAGTAATTACTGCACTTGTTGTCAATAATATTAAATACCCAAGATACACCAACACGAACAAAATCGTGGCCGAATCCTGTACAAAAGGTACATTGAACGATCCACGGAGCTCCGTAAGATGATCGCGAAGTCAAAATCAATATAAGGTTTAATTTAAACATTTAAAGTCACCCTTTACAAGATACACCAACACGAACAAAAACACGTGAGTAGTGCTGTGTACTCACTACGTGGTTGCCGGGCTCGTCCTCGCCGGACGGCAGGCGCGCCCCTCCCCCCGCTATAGTGAGCGGGCGCAGGTAGAGCTCTGTACTCACTACGTTGTCGCCGGGCTCGTCTCTCCGGACGGCAGGCACGCCCCTCCCCCCGCTATAGTGAGCGGGCGCGGGTAGTGCTGTGTACTCACTACGTGGTCGCTGGGCTTGTCTCGCCGGACGGCAGGCGCGCCCCTCCCCCCGCTATAGTGAGCGGGCGCGGGTAGTGCTGTGTACTCACTACGTGGTCGCTGGGCTTGTCTCTCCGGACGGCAGGCACGCCCCTCCCCCCGCTATAGTGAGCGGACGCGGGTAGTGCTGTGTACTCACTACGTGGTCGCTGGGCTTGTCTCTCCGGACGGCAGGCGCGCCCCTCCCCCCGCTATAGTGAGCGGGCGCGGGTAGTGCTGTGTACTCACTACGTGGTCGCTGGGCTTGTCTCGCCGGACGGCAGGCGCGCCCCTCCCCCCGCTATAGTGAGCGGGCGCGGGTAGTGCTGTGTACTCACTACGTGGTCGCTGGGCTTGTCTCGCCGGACGGCAGGCGCGCCCCTCCCCCCGCTATAGTGAGCGGGCGCGGGTAGTGCTGTGTACTCACTACGTGGTCGCCGGGCTCGTCCTCGCCGGGCGGCAGGTCGAGCTGCGGCTGCGCGCCGGCCGCGTCGCGCACCTCCCCCCGCAGACGTACTAACTCCGCCTGACTCACAACGCCCGTCACCGGCTCCGACATCACGTGCTCTTGGAAACTGCACGACAACAACCATTGTGGATTGTTAACACGACGCCAATAACACATACAATCCACGGATACATCATCATCTAACTAAATAAACAATTACTATGTTGGATTATAATTTTTATTAATGAACAAAAAATGCAAAATACCCTCATTATATTCAAACATTGTTAAGACAGAAGTTAACCTAAATATATCCATGCTTGGTTAAAAAACTAACATTAGCTCATATTCACGTAATTAATTTTAATAAAATAAGAAAAAGGACATTTCAATGGACTTTTGTTGTTTTCAAGACTATGAAATGTTGGGAAACCCTTGACCTAAAAATACTTATGCATGATAAATACAGTACTTACTTGTCAAAATGTGATGTATACCCAAGAGTTGGTGTTGCCAACAAACGATCATAAATGTTAGTTACATTAAGGGCTGAACCGTTTTCTGCTTCCCACTTAATATAAGATTCCCATAATCTATCTGATCTAAATTCCAATCCACATGCCTCTGTAGATAAAGATAATATTTGTTTTTTAAATACAAGTGTATCTAATATAACAATGTTGATACAATGAGATAACAAGATATTTAAAAGCATTTAAATTACAGCAAAAATAATAAAAAGGAATAAAAATTTTAAAGAGTGATAAATTTCATAATGACAGATGAAATAAATGAACCAATTAAATGAGTAGTGATAAAAAAAAACAGCTAAGGACGATGAAAAAAATTCAATGAAATATTGCAAGGACTCCCAAATAAAGCCCGTTTATAGTGACCAATAATACACACCAATAGCCCTTTCATACTGCGATCTGATATAGGCATGGTCTTCAGTTCTTATTGATCTTATGTGATTCAGATAATGTATCCACAAGTCAACTGATAGGGGGATAGCTTTCAGTCCCCTTTCCAAAACCTGAAATACAACGCGAGCGTCAAACAAGTGCCACGATTTACCAAGTATTGTCGTGTTCACGACAATACTATGAAGCAAGGGAATAATCAATAGCATTGTATGATTCATGTTCATTCATTCAATAGAAAAAAGTGAGACGTTGGTCATAATATAAGGTGGAAAAGCGTCGAACACCACACAACGTCTCACTTGTATCTATGTCATATAAAATGTTTGTCTTGGAATATTACACCTGTTCGCACTCGGCGCTGCAGTCGTTGCCGCTGTCCCGACGTCTTCCTTTCCTAACGCCAGTCAATGGCTAAACACTGGCTGCACTCCATGCTATCATGGATTAGTTTACATAACTTCCTTAATTATGTTCACTATTTCAAAATTGCACGTACTTAAATAATATACATGATAAAATATTACAATACATCATGCGTGTACAAAGAATCATAAATAATATAAGCATTAGATTTATCAAATATACAACACCAACAATGAATCACTAAAACCGAATCTATGTGATGGTAATACAACTCTCCGGTGCGTACGGACGACTTTGCCTTACGAACATCGTGGATCTCGACGCACTGTTGGGAAAAAAAAGTAATTGCAAAATACCAGTTATGACTAAAACAATTTAAATCCAAGTGAGTAAGACACATTGATATAAAAAGTCATCAGTCAGGTGTATTCATATTAAGCATTACCAACTCACCATATCAACTTAAATAAATAAATTTCAAACTGACAATATAAACACTTACCTCGAGGCACTTCTTTTTACTTCCTTTGCGTTTTTCGTAATCGGCGTACTTTCGCCAGTAGCCGTAGCAGTACGGGTAGTGTGACAAGAAAGCGTCGTACGCTTCGCGAGCCGCCTCCACATCGCTCTGTTTAAAGATTAACCACATGTGTTACTTTTCGACAATTAAAATTTGTCAACAAATAAATACAGATACTTTCAATCAGTTGGCCCTTGCCAATCCACATTCATATTCAGTTCTCATTGCTTCATAAAGCAATAAGATTAGCAAAAAGTTTCATCATATTAATTCTTAACAATTATGAAATAAAAACAAAATAAACATAAGAGAGTAACTTTCTATAAGTCTTCTGAGATTTTATTTCATATTTTTGGCACAACAGAAAGAAGGAAATGTGTATGTTATATTTATTTATTTATACAGTTTTACACAAGTGTTAAAGAAATAATAGAAATAAATAAAGTTATTTCAATTATTTTCGCCTGGCAACATTATGAATGGGAAAAAAGGTTCTTGTATTTTTAAATTTTAATTGAGTTAAGTTCGAAACCTTTTTTCTGTTAATTTTGTCGAGTGCAACGGTCGCGCATAAATTTATCAACTTGTTAAATATTATAATTCTTTTTTAGTATTGTGTTAAATAATTTCGTCCAAATTATAGTGAATCTCATATAATAGTTTAGAAACATAACTACAAAAAGACAATGGTGTGTCGTAAGGACCCTGAAACACTTCCATCATCCAACTGTAGTTGTTTTGCCACTGGAGTTTTTCACAATTTTGGATGATTTACTATCTCGTTTATTGAAGTGAAACTTTTTTACGCACGCTTGAGTTGAGGGGTAAGCTGGCTAATGCGTTACGCGTTACGAAAAGTGTGTTCGGGCGAGGCGAACGGGAGTTGAGTGGGGGATATAAGCAAGAGAAAGCAGTGTAAAGCAGTACACACATATGTATACAGGGTGTTTCTTCAAGGGTGTCAAGCCAGTGCGAGCTGATAGCAGAGTACCATACCTATCAATTTACCCCTTATGTATGTTCTACGATATTTCGTAGTATTCGAGTTAGAATTTTTTTTCAAGTTCAACAATGTGACAACTTTAAAAAAGTATAACTTAATATCAAGCTCAATCGCGAGTTCTCAACGTACGCGTGGACACTTCCTTATTTAAGCGTAAAATAAAAATACCTGAGGCGGAGGATAACAAGAGTTTCAAGTGATTAGTTATCATTAAATGATTATTTTTATTTTCGAATGAGCTCCACTTAAACTAAAAGGGATAATAAAACTTAAGATTGACAAAATATGCAAAGATACTACGAAATTATAAAATATAGCTGTCCCAGCGAACTTCGTACCGACACAAAAAATAGGGGTTGGTGGTAGAAGGTTGAAAATTTAGGGTTGTATGTATTTTTGTATGAAGTATCATAAAAACGCACACCGTGTCACGAGAATTTTATATATTACTAGCTGACCCAGCGAACTTCGTACTGCCATAAAAAAATAAGGGTTGGTGGTAGAAAGGTGAAAATTTAGGGTTGTATGTATTTTTCTTTAATGTATCATAAAAAAATATATAAAAACAACAAAAATATCTAAAATTGAAAAAAAAGTTTAGGGGTGGATTACCCTTAACATTTAGGGGGATGAAAAATAGATGTTGTCCGATTCTCAGACCTACACAATATGCACACAAAATTTCACGAGAATCGGGAAAGCCGTTTCGGAGGAGTTTAACCACAAACACCGCGACACGAGAATTTTATATATTAGATTAAAACTACTCGATTTCCGATACAACACCTTCAACAACAGATTTCAGCAAATAATGCCCCATTTAATACATCTTTTTTTGTGTTTTAATTAAAGCTTATGTAGTTGGGCAGTTTTTAAAATTAGTCAGAAGTTATGAAACATCTATTTTTAATTTTTTTATTTCAATTAATAATCCATTCTGTTTTACTTAATTCATTTTTATTTAGTATTAATATTTTTTTTATATCTTAGGTTAAAGTTAGAAAGGAAATTATTTTACTAATAAAACTAAAAGCAATAGGCATTCTGTTAAAAAAAAAATATCGAAGAAAAATCGACCCAAAAAGAAGTTATACTTTTTTAAAGTTGTCACATCGTTTAACTTCTAACTCGAAAACTACGCAAAATCGTAGAATATGCATGGGGGCTAAATTGATAGGTATGGGGTACTCCACTATCAGTTCGCACTGGCTTGACACCCTAGAAGAAACAACCTGTATATATATACATACAGATGGAGCTAAAGAAGTTTCACTTCAGTCGTGTGGTCATAAGCACAATCGTTATTTTTTTTCGTGTCATGGTCCTAATTTTTTTTAATTACAATCCGCTTATTGTATATAAAACAATTACAACGTTTGCTTACCTCTTGATCTACATACTGCAGAAGATATGTCCATCCAGTGAAGTCAGTAGGATCATCATTGACTACTTTCCAATATTTATCCAATTCAGGCAGTGTTTTTTTCTTGGGTTTCTCATCAATAGATGATCTTTTCTCAGCTGGAACTGGTTTACTCTCTCCATTCTGTCCAATGGAAATAAAAAAGAGTTCAGTACAAGGTATTTTCTTATCTAAAGCATTATAAATAAAAAAGAAGCAAAAGGTTTTGGAAAGTGGAAGCAATTTCGTATATTTAGAAATTTATGAAAATAATACATAATATCACTGGCTGAACATCGGACGGACAGCAGAAAGAAGCTACGTAGCAGCTTTCTCTTCTGCCATCGTACTGGTATGGGCACATTAGCCTCAACAAGGTAATTAATTATAGAAGTATTGAATAAGCACTAAGCAAAAAAAGTACAAAAATTAGAAGTTGGCTTCTTTGGGGCACCTTTCCAAGTCCCCAAAGGATTTCAGGGTAATAATTAAGCACATTTAAAGTAAATACCACAATAAATATAATAATACTAGTGGCCCGCCCTCACTTCGCTTCGGTGTAGAGCTGTAGTGTAGACTAAAATGACTCTCCATATAATTATAAAAAAAACTGAAAATGGTATATTTGCCTTTTCCAAATATTCGTCTCAATTATTATTGGTCTCAATTGTTTTGCCTTCCCGAAACCTCTCCACTAACATTTAAAATTTATGGTATGGTATTAAAATTCAAATTAACTTTTAAATATTATTACGAACCATTTGTATGGGAGTATAGAAAAGGGCTGTTTTTGGACTTTTTCATACATTTTTTTTTAATTTTTCTCTGCGTAAGAACCATCCTCGTACTTCAAGGAATATTCTAAAATAAGAATTATCGAAATCGGTTCAGCTGTTCTCGAGATTTGCGTTCAGCAACACATACAGCGAAAGTTAGTTACCTTTGCTACAGCTTGCTTTTTATTAGATGATTCATTCTCTGATGTAGGTGAGCCTGGATCATAGCCATCCCTTTCTTTATCAGGTTTGCGTTTACGCGATTCTTTGGCCTCTTTTTTCGAAGTAGGCAGTTCATCTTCAGACACAACCTAAAAAGAAAACATTTTATAAGATTTTTATTATTCTTGAAGATTTTAACAATACATAACATATATCTTTTAAAACCTCTGTATCAGCTGGTAGCTCAGCTGGCTTAGGTCCAGGTAGCTCATCATCAGATACATTTTCGGCATCTTTCACACTGGGCTTCTGTACCGCTGGTAATTCATCCTCTGACACAACTTCTGTTTCTTCTGCACCATGAGACTATAAAGTGGGTGGGATTGTAAACTATGCAAATTTACTTAAAATAGACATTGCTGCTTATTCTAAACTGTCTGTTTATTTTTTTCGATTTCATGTAAAAGATGTAAAGGCACACTAATTGAAAACTCTATACTGAAGACCAAGGACTCCTAGAAATCAACTGTCCCATAATAACTGTGCCAATTATGAGTTGCATGTTAAGCTTTTATGAAAAATATAGAATGCAACGGCGCACATAGTGTAGCTTGTGATGCAGTTTTACAACTACATATAATCTTAACTTAAATCATAAGTGATTTGACAGTTCAATTACCTCTTCCATTTTCTTGCTTTCTTTTTCTTCAGTAGCTTTAACTATATCAGCAACTTCATTTTGACTCAATTCTGTCACTTCAACTGGTACTTCCTCTTCTGCTGCTACTGCCTCAGTTATTAGTGGTGGTTTAGTCTCAGTTTCCATTTTATCTTCTTTTACAACCTACATCAGTGAAACCAAATGTTTCATTTAAATTGAATCAAATTAAATAAACTTGCTTAGATAGCAAGCTTTTTTTTTTCAATATTATGTTAACAACTTTGCTGGTGTCAGACAAAAAATTAAAAATCCAAACATTTCGAAGAAATTGAGTTTTTTCCCTTTAAATCTAAAAAAATTTAAAGTTTTAAAAAAGAAAATGTTATTTATTTTTATGTAGAAAATTTTGTTAGCTATACAAGTCAATACGGACTACTCAATCCAATGCTGATATATGACCAAAACAGCTTATTTGCAATATACAGTACAGTTAACAAATAACATTACTCTCTCCCCTGAGACAAACAATATATTATCTAAACACTTTTAGAAATCTCCTCCAGGGTAACCAGTCTAAAATATGACAAAACAGGGAAACACAGATCAGATGGAACTCTGCCCTAATTGTAGTTACGACCAATAATGCTAAGTTTAACATGCTAACATACCTGTTCTTCTTTTGCTGCATTTGTTATTATCTCAGCTTCTTCAGATTCTTGTGGAGTTTTCTCAGTTTTCTCTTCATCTATAACCTCTTCAGTTTTCTCTTCTTCTATAACCTATGAAAATTAAAATACTAGTTATATCAAAGATTTAAACTTATTACAACATAACAGCGAAACATTAATACATAGACAACAGTAAATAATAATATAGAAAATGAGAACATTGACTTCTTTAAAAAAAACAGCTATTTATTAAGTTTAGACATACCTTGAACCTCTAAACCAGTTGAGATAATAATATTACACTAGCTGAAATAGCTAGTTTACTAGCATATTCCATTAACATTTATGAATCTTTAATTAAGTAATAAAAATATATTATAAATTAGTAATTTCAACAATTAGTTCTGATCTACCAAAAATATAGCAAGTTTTGTAAATTAAAAGAATAACTAAGGTACAACAAGTTGTATTTTTTTTATATTTTATGTGACAGTGTATAAAGTCCTGGATAAATACCTGTTCTTCATTTTTATGTGAATATTCTTCAAACTCTCTTGTACTTTCAAAAATATCATCCTGCAAATAGAAAAAACATCATGATGAGCAAACAAGAGGGCAATCTTTCACTCAAATTAGAGCACCTATCCGGTGGTATAGCCTCCCCTCTTAAGCCAAATTTACATCATAAAAATTAGTGGCATGAGAATAGTTACATGACATTATTACCGACAATTTTTGGTTTGGGTTTTGAATGGATTTATTACTAATATTTTGCCAAGAGTGGAACAAGAGGGTTCGTGAACGGTGTATGTGAAGGATATGTGAAAAAATACTTGATACTGAAGTATCTATACTTTATTAAAATAAAGTACAGTAAACTATGTATGGATAAGCAAAACAGGTAATAAACTGGCCTAGTTAAAAAGTACAATATTTTACCTCTCTGTCCAGTGTTGCTTCATTTGCCATCATGCTATTATTGGTGGATTCACTAAATTTCAGGTCACCTGTGACACTGTCATCATCCATTTTATTGGATGGGTCATCAATATGTTCAGAAGTCACATCATTTGATAATTCACTGACAGGCTCTTGATCAAAATCAGTTTCCATTTTGGGCTTCTCACATTCTGCAACATCACCATCAGTATCAAAGGCGGTTTGTTTATAGACAACATCGCCTTGCATCGAGTCGCCATCGGAGAGCACGTTACTTAGAGAATCACTCGGGAAAGTAATCGCGTTGTCGCCGACATCGAAAGAATCCCCATTGAAACTGTCCGGTTTGTTATTCAAGTAGTCACCCACGCTACCCGCTGACAACTCGACCGCATTGAGGAAACCTTGATTCGATGCCGACGATTCGTCCGCCACAACAGCATCAACACTATTGAATTCTCCCTCAGTAAGGAGGTGAGAAAGCCCGTTAGAGTTTTCATTTATCAAGGGCCCTTCATCTGTTTCCATAGGTCCATCCGACAGACACTTCTAAAAGGAAACCAAAACAATTACGTAAATTAGGAAAATACCACAAAAAACAGTCTGCGTAAAGCTTAACCTCACTGGAACCCACCTGTAAGTCGGAACTAACATCATCATCCATATCAGCAAATTCAAAGAATGCAGTAAGCAAATTTATCTACTGAATGCGATATCTAGCACTTATTAATTGCAATATTCAGTGAATTGTATAACATGTAAAACAAATTCCAAATGAATTTAATATTGACGCTACGCTCACAAAGTACAATCATAGCATAGCACAGATTAGACATAGGGACACAAAAAGGTTAGGTATCGATACTTTGTGGTATCAAGTACTCTTCCTTTCGATACTGATACTTTTGTATTGATGGCAACGCGTTGCAACGCTATCTTGTTAAATCATAGCAAACCTTCTAAAACGTTCCATTGCGTTATTATAAAGTCAGTTACTGACATATTCAAATTCTTTACAATCTGTAACTGTGTTTATTTTGCGCTTTGTTTTGTTTCATAGTTATTTATTTAGCGATCATATTATTAGGAACTGTGATTGATTCGCTGTTTATTGTGCTTTTCGCTTGACTGTATTTGATTTATTCAAGTGTAACACTATTATTCTATCTGAGCAGTGAATACCTATTTGAAACCACGGACCTGAAAAAAAACGGACGTAACCTCTTCTATAATTATAATCTTGAGTGATGCATGCCAATGGCCGCCTTTAACTGCGTGTCAGGTTCAAGTTAACATAAGTGGGTATAATGTTTTAATAATTAAAATTCAAGAAAAGTAAGTTTAATTTGTAACAAATGTGAAAAGTTTCATAGGTACTTTTAAATTGTTTAAGATTTCGATCTTTTTAATTAACATTTTAATTATGAATGTAATATTATTGAACACATATTTATTCTCAGCAATCACAGCTGTTTTATTTTCATTATATTTAATTATGCACTTTTAATTTTGTAGTTGATTATATTAAAAATACACATTTTTAAGAGTAGCTAGATAATAGAGCAATTTGTGAATTTACATGTCCTTTTTTTGTTTTTGATTACACGTACTATAATAATATTTTTTCATTTCTTTCAATTTTAACCCCGGGTTTGCTCATCAGGTCACAGAGGATCCGATCAGGCCCCATGAAATGTACTCGATACTTGTGTTTCAATACTTTTATGAGTACGATACTTTTTTCAGATGCTACTCATGAGTACAGTATCGATACTTTCTATTCTTTAACGTGTCCTTATTTATAGAGAGAAAGGTCTGAAAAATACTTTCACAGCACAGAGTACGTAACTTAACAGAAACATTAAAACGGGATTTACACTACCCAATTTTAAGGGCCTAATCTTGAGGGTGGGCGTGTATAATGCGATTCAACTAAGAATAGGACCGACTGGGCGCCATATTGTGATGTCGGAGCTGTCAATTCAAACCAAATATGTAGAATGAGCAAAAAAAGTTTTTATTTAATAAAACTTATTTACTAACATTAAGTGAGAAAATGTATAAGATTTTTTTAATAACATTTATTTACTAAGATTGAAAAAAAAAACACCGATTTTTAATAATATTTATTTATTAAGACTGTGAGAAAAAAATGTGTGGGTCTACTTATGTAGGCGCGTGAGAAGTTATCCTTCTTTGGCATCGTTGAAAATTAGTTTTTAATTGCATGCAAATAATTAATTACAATAAATTAATAAAAAGTCTGGAAAAGGACACAGTCAATAAAGTTCAGTTTTAATTTTAAAAAAATAAATAAATAATCAAAATATTCAATTAAAATCGCTACTGAATATAATTTATTAGAACATATGTGATTTGAACTTGTATGAAACTCAAACACGTATTCCGAATATACAAACTAGAAACATGTGGATAAATATTGAAGTTATACTTCTTTAGGCGTGTTACCGATACCTATAACTGTTACTTTATTACAAAAAATAAAGATGTGGTTTTTGGTTCTACTACACCAATGGTCAAGAGATGGCGCTGTAGTCTCCTGAATCGCGCTTTGGTTCCGTTGTTCCAGATTAATAAATATTTTTGATAGGCATTCACAATGCAGTCGTTAGCATCCACTAAATAGAGATTTTATTTCAATTTTGTTGGTAGATTTTCTTATTGTGCGGTAAACACAAAAGTAAAATTTTGTGTTACAGTGATGCGCGCGCATCTTAAAATTTCACTCTCATCATTTTTTCATAACGCGCCTAAAGAAGTATAACTTCAAAAACTTTAATCGGAATCTAGATCTTCTATTCCGCTCATCTCTGCCGGAGTAGTTATGAATAACCATGCACTATTACTAGGTCACATACGAACATGCATCCTTTATGTAAATGAAAGTTTGAAACAACGTAAAGTGACATTTGGTTGACGATTTAGGTTATCAAACATTCATGACCAAAGCTCAATAAGTGAAATAAAAATATCAACCGATATTAATTATCAATTTTTGTTATTGTTTGTTTACAAATGTTTGGTTTTTATTCTTGAATTAGCGGAGTGCTGAAAAAGGGTTTCAAGTTTTTTTCTGCAAACCGTACTTTTCAAGCGACATTTGACAGATAGAGGTCATTGGCTTTCCTATTCTTATTTGAATCGCATTAAAGGTTGCCGTACATCAGGTCCCTTACTCCCTAACTCACATTACATCACCCTTAGTCAGGGTAAGTGTCCCTTAAAAATGAGTAGTGTAAATCCCGCAAAAGATAACCCGTCAGAGGCCCGGGGCGGCAAAGCCGAAAGAGGCCCCCAGCTTTAAAAAAAATGTAGTTTTTTATGTTTATTTCTTTACTATCTGGTAACTGAAATTTAAATTCGAATAAAATTATTTCGGCTACATAAACAGACATACCTGCATTTTTTTTTTACAATACTCACACCAATTAGCCTAGCCCCAAAGTAAGCACTGTAAGGCTTGTGTTATGGGATACTAGGGTAACGGATAGAATACATATATTGTACATATATAAGTATCTTAATATATATAAATCTCGTGTCACAATGTTTGTCCTCAATGGACTCCTAAACCACTGAACAGATTATAATAAAATAAAATGTGCAGTTCGATCCAACTTGAGAGATAGGATAGTTTAAATCTCAAATTATAGTCGCAATTTTAATTTATTGCAAATTATTACTTTTGGGCGGTACGAAGTTCGCCGAGTCAGCTAGTATTTATATAGAAATACATATTAAACGTCCATGACTGGAGTACAAATGCTCGTATTCATCACACAAACATCTGCCCCCACCGGGATTCGTACCCGGGACCTCTCGAGTCGGCGACACCATGTAACCCGGCGTATAAACCACTCGGCCACAGAGGTCGTCAAATATGGAATACATATAGGTGAGAAAATAAAATATAAATCGATCGACAAAAAAAAATTTATAAAAAATCAAAGATACTTAGTTTTTTTATTTTTTGTAGCGTATTATATGTGTTTTCATGCCTTAAAATTACTGAACTCCTCAATAACTTATGTGAAATCGATTTTTTTTGGAAAATTTTCTTTCTATTGAAAGCACGGCTAGATTAACCAGTTGCTTTTGACCCATTGTTGATCGAAGACCATTTTTAATTAGTTTAAGTTTCGAAAAACTCCTCTCGCATGATGCAAATGGTCAAGAAGTATTGAAGTATAAAGGGTAAAGATTCACTGAAATACCATTTTATGATAAATTGGAGAATTTCTTAGGCTCCTCATTTGGCAGCAATGTTCATACTAGTATCGGTGGCTTTTACATGCTTGCGGTACCTTTTTATTTCTTGGGAAACTTGCTCCTTGTCAAATTCACCATAACTTTGTATCAGATTGTCAACTGCTACAGCCAGAGCGTCATCTAAAGCTTCTAGCATGCAATTGAATGAACTACACAAAGATTCAAGGAATGATGAGAACAAGTACAGTGAATAGTGTCTTTGGATTTACATTACGTTTACTTAAGTACGGATTATATAGTTTGTCTATAAAGTCGTGACATTAAATGATGGCGCCACTAGTATGCATGTAGCAACCCTGTACAGTCGGACCAAAATGATTTTGATACTAGCAGTTCATTCAAGTAAAGTAGGTAATTAATAAGACACACTATACAGTCGTATTTTGTTTCTGTTTTATATATAGTAGGTACCTATGCTTATAAAAAGTTTAGCCAAGCATACTTAATTGAATCAGAATAAAATTATTATATATGAAATAGTACTTTATAGTGTAAAAGTGTGTAATGTTGGTGATTACCGCTGAGGTGCCATCACCTCAGCGGTACTCTCAATGGTGAGACCAGAGCCGTTAGGTAATCATCAATACACACAAGTATCATCATACGACGTTTTTTAACACACTTGTTAAGAAAATAATACTAAAAATCATTTTATGGTCAGAACCATTTCTTTCTTTGGTCGGCCTTGCCTGTTTTCCGGCAGGAGTTTCAAACTTTCCATCATTCTTAAAACCTTCGTTGACTATCCGACTCTCTGATTTTCCTGAAAAAAAAAAAATAAAAAATATGTAACGGAATATAAACAATAACTTATTGACATGAAGCAATTAATTCAAAATTGGTAGAAAACGTGACCGAGTTGAACCATAATAACGTATCAAAAGAAATGGTCGTACTACAATATTACCTATTTACAATGTCAATCTAACCTAAAAATGTGCAATGTAAACAATGCCTTTTTTGGTCTCAAAATCGTAAATTGAGTAAATTTGTAACTTCAGGCAGATTACAAACAAATAGTTACACGATTACATACCCGTCATAGATGCTGTTCGCCCATAAACATCATCCAAATCCCACAATGTTCGTCCAGCTTGGTAGTCTTCGAAATATCGCTGGAAAACATTAAAAATCACTTCCCGCGTGCCACTCCGATTTACTTTACTCATTTTTATATCTTTCTGCGTAGTTTCGTCTTAATTTATTACAGTTTAATCCAAACAATAAATAATACAAAAGGAAAACTGTTCCACAACTGAAACTCGATGACAGCTGATGTACATAAGTTTGGTGTTGCCAGACACATGAATAATGTTAGTTCCTCAAACATTCATGTCATGTTCTATGCTAACGAAGAATTACTTACTTTTTCCAAATACTCGAAAATGCACTAACTCAACTCTGAACTCATCGTCAAGTGGATGTGAGAATTTTATCCTAGTGTTGACTACCTCACAGAAGCTTACCGAGAAAGCTGACTCGATACATTGCGAGCCAAATACTCCAAGAAACATTAGAATGTAAAAAAACAAAGAAAATTGAAGACTAGGCTGTATGAGTATTGTTTTCTTTGCGTTCCCTTAAAAGGGAGATCTTAAAAGAAAAGAAGTCTAATGTCATGGTGACATAAATGACATATTTTGGTAGGAATGTCATTATGACTTCACATGCGCTAGCATCACTATATAGTTTGTGGACTTCACATTGCTTTACATGTAAAATACACGCTTGACGCTTGGTTTTTCGACTTTTTCGGATCAGTTTGCTTGATTTTATTTCTTGAGTATTAAGATTATTTCGTCATGTTAGGTATTTCCTCATTTTTAGTGAAAACGTTTAACAATGGACACAATGTTATGTTGCAGCAAGCAAGGGTAAACTATATGAATGTTCAAATTTATTTGGTGTGAACATGGAGGCACTTTGAATTATCCTAACAGCTATTGCAGTCATAAGGTCACCATAGCCCTTAGACAAGAACAAGACAGTAGTCTATTTAACCCCTGTTGAGCTGCTTCAACGCTTTGGTTTCCTCTGAACAGTGAATAGACTTATTTCCCATACAAACAAACCCACAGAAAAGTTATATTCTCCTTTTGTCATCTGTCGATACGGGATATTGAAGAAACTTCTGGGTAAAATGATCAATAAGTAAAATTTAATGTTCTCAAAAAAAAACCCTGTTCATGCCTTACATTACATTAGCCTTTTTTCAGAAATTGTGATAAAAAAAATTGTACCTCAATTTTTCTGATTTCGGTAGGGCCTGAATGATTTTTCTGATATTGAGCTTCACAGCTTCAGGACAAGGCTTTTAGGGACAAGATGTCTGGCTTAATTCATAAATATCCTGATTTTGAATATTGTCTGATTTTAGTAGATTTAGTACTAGCTCTCATACTTTAATTTATATGTTACATCTTAATTAATCCTGTGGTTCCACATACCAGGCTGAAATTAAATAATTGCATTTGCCGGAATAGCAAAGGGTGTTGATTTATTTCCTGCCAAACGATTTCTACAAGTAGTGTTTTGATTTGCAGAACACATTTGTGTTGAAAAGACGATTTCCTCCATCACTTCACAAAAAAGGTGGCAGAGTACCTAAAATGAGAGCTAGACATTTCATTTATGATTTGGTTGAAGACACCAATGTGGTGAAGAAAGCTGAAGTGAAAGTTATTTTAAAACAATTTGTTAGTGGTAAGTTACTTCTAGCTATAAAATGAAAGTATAAAGGATGATTGGGACCCTTCAGCTGTTTTCGCAACTAGTTTCGAAGAAAGAATTTTAATTATTTTTTAGAAACTGGTTTCGAAAAAAGAAAAATATTTCTGCTTTAGAAAAATATTAAAAAAAAAATCTTGCATTAAAACTCAGCAATTCATTTTAAGCATTAATCTGCTTGATTCTTAAATAAAATATATAAAAGGGGAGGCACAAAAGCTTATGGCCAGGCTGATGGTAATTTACCACAATAAGCTATAGACGCTTACACTACTATAATATCATTTCACTTGTGCTGTTGCATATTCTGACCCTATCACCTACCCTGTAGAGCATTGTCACCTTGCCTTTATAAATATACCTTACTTCATTTGGTCTTGGAGATAACTTTTCCAAAAATTATACCTCAGACATTGGCAGAATCGTCACGTAATGAGAAGCAGCCATAATCACCAAAAAATTGAATTGAATTCCAAAAATTATTGCATTATTTTTATTATTTGTATAGGCTATTTGACAAATTGTTAAAAACATAAGTTTCGTTTTCATCACGTGATGTGACAATCGGGATTGGGAGATGGCTGCAAAGCTTTAAAAGGAAGCTTGCATAGACCATTTTAAACTTTTTAAGTAAAGTTTATTTTAGAGAAAGTATGTTTAGTAGTGTATTTTTTTAACAATTTTTCGATTGTTATGTGCTGTCTTTTAAGGTGTTGGAAATGCTGGTGACGTGTTGACTTTACGACCAAGTATAGCATACAAAGAATATCTAATGCCTGGTATTGCTGTATATGCAAGTCCTGAAAATTTGGCAAACAATAAAATTAAAGATATTAATACTGAGAAGGGTGATGACTTTAGTTCACCTTATGTTCAAAGAGTGAGTATTTGTATTTTATAATAAGTGTAAGCCTATAGTAATATATGTTTAGTGCCGATTCTAGATGATTCTCTTATCCTAAAACTAAAATTGACAACATAATATCCTTATTGTGCTTTATAAAGAAGATATATGATATAAAGATATATGTTATATATATCATACAATGATTTGATAAATCAAGTTTTTAAAAAAGCCTAATGATTTTGCGAAAATGTGGATAATAAGATTTTGTGGGATAAAGTTGTTTTGTTCAATTCAGCCACAAAATAAATTAATGATGTAAATCAAACTTTAACCTGGGCAAAACTAAAACTAAGAATAATTGACTGTTTCAGACTATGGGATGTCTCTCAAGATTAGTGTTACAAATTACAATGAGTAAGCAAGTACCATGGACTCTTGAACCCTGGCATATCAGAGCCTCGTTTAGAAAAACTGGGTTTTTTGTTCCAGAATATGCTATTGAAATGCCACCTGTTGCCATAAAAGGTCCAGATCTTTCATTACAAGAAAAGGAATTCTATGTAACTGTTACAGTAAGTATGAATAATTAGGAAAATTAGGAAATTAATAAAAAGGTTCTACTGTCCACTCATTAACATTTACCAATTGGTATAAATAAAACAATTACTGCACCATTGCTGAAAACTTAGGGTCTAGCATGTTGATAAGAGCAGACATAATGTAAATTTTGACTTTTGTAACTTTTTTTATTGAGAAAGGTTGGTGCATATGTCGTACTAATTGGTACCGCCTGACTGCTTGGCCACAACTTTCGGCTCTCCTTGATGCAAGAGTAAGGTCGATGATGGATCTGCCTCTTCTTGTTGCGAAAGTAGGTTCAGATCCTGTGATTATTATATTAAGGTTTGTCATAAATAGGTAATCTACTAATTTCTCACCTCGTTTGTTGCTTTTCGTCATGCCCCACAATTGGTGGTGGGCGTTGGAGTCAGTGCCGATAATCAGCGCCATGTCAGTTTGTTCACAGTGTCTCACCAGCTCAGCCAGTTCCCCTGACGGACCTTCCTCTCCTTCAGGCATGTAGGCAGAGGCAACTACCAGGACAGGTACACTTAGATTTTGCTGTTGTATTATTTGGATTGTTGTTATGTCGCTAGAACATAATTGTGTCATTTTGCCTGTAAGTGTCTTGAACATACAATGCCGGTCGGTGGTGCACGGTTACCTGGGTTGTAAAAATTCTTACCACCAGTGTTATTGAGGCCACATATGGTGTTGGATCTGATCCACGGCTCCTGGACTAGAGCAATAGCCCCGTCGTTGTTCTCCTCCAGCCACTTCCTTAGTTGAGCCGTTGCGGTGCGACTGTGCTGGAGGTTCGTCTGCAGGAGTTTAATTGTCATCTGTTGGGGCGCCATCTGAGGCGAGAAGCACGTCGACATTAACCTCCTGACTGATGTCAATCCCCCCAAGTTTGTCCGCCCACTCGTCAACCACGTCTGTGTCCACCTTCTCCTCAGACGCGGACTCCATTACAATTGGAATGTCTGCGTTAGTCTGCTGTGTCACGGCTGTCAAGACCCTTTATCTCGGGAACTTTTACTAGTTATCTTCGTGTTTGGACTTTATTACCACTAAACATCAGGTGGGGTAGAGTCGTTTGCTTACCTCGCTATAATAAAAAAAAGAACGTGTGGAAGTATCGAGTTGAAATTTAAACGATATACCTACTCAGGTCTACGGTCATTTGAAGCTGTGCAAAAACCAAACTTAAGTTAACGTGAAAAAAAGATACGGCCGTTTGTCTGGCTGTATGTCTAAACTCTTCATTTCGCAAACGCATGGAGGTATTTTAAACTACACACTCAAGTCTGCGGTCCCTGTTGTGCAGTGAAAAAATCAAACTTCTAAATTAACGTAAAAAAGAAGATACCGCCGTTTATGTTGCGTATCTACTTTTTACGGAACCCTCGGTGTGCGAGCCCGCCTCGCACTTGCTCGGTTTTAACACGCTTTTGTTAGGTCGACTTGCATGTAACTATGTAATAAAATCTAAGAATCTGAATTACACGCACTTCTAATTCTTGTATCATCATGAAACTTGACAATTATATGTAGATTAGATGACAATACAATATTATGGTACCATCGAGCTGGTCTGATGATGGGACTGGAAGGTGGCTGATGGAACCTCGGACTGCCTACTAGTAAACATATTGAGTTTGGGCTCACTAGATTCGTCTTAATAAAACTATAAACATGGCTAACTCTAAGGCTCTAATGAAAAACATATTTTGTTTATTTTTGGCTTTTTAGTGCAGTAAATAAAAGCGTGTTTTTATTTTTTTTAAACTATTTTTTAAAGAAAGGTAGCAGCCTCATAGCCGTTCGCACGAGTGCCTTTTCTACGTTTGTTTGCCTCAGTAGACTCGGTTTTTCTACCGATTCCAATAGACCTTGTAAGATTCTTATGCCGAGGTACACGCGGGATACTATTTTTTATCTGTCACTATTCGTTTAGGACCCATGTCGGTTGGAAATATATTTTTAGATAAGAGGTTATTTATAAGTCAAAATTTACATTATCAAATTTAACTTCTTATCAATGAAGGTATGTGCTAGGGTAGTAATGTTTGCAGCATTATTATTCTAAGGCTTGAAGGGTACTTTTTTACTTATCATTATACAGTATTTTAATTTGCAGATCAATAAAACCGAGAAAGTCAACGTGAGGTGTCGAATTCATCACTGGGCTACTGGTTTAGATAGACTGCCGTGGGATGAATTTCATTGGAAAAAACCTTTGGAAGCACTAATACCCGAACAAGCTACTATTTTAGAAGCAATGCCTTTGCCTGAATGAATCGCTTTCAACTTTTATTATGCCCTAATAATATATTTAAGTAGATAACTATTTCAATAATATAAATATTACATAAAAGCAAACTAAATTTTATTTTAAATAAACCATACAAATTCACAAAGTTCACTAGGAAAAAATATAAAACTAATACTTGAAAAAATTATGTGTCTTGTGTTAAGATGTTTGTTAAGTTACTGTGCTTTGACTTGCTGATCTGGTTGTGGATTCAATGATTTCTCTACACTGCTTGTCTCAATAGTGTCATTTTGTTTTTCAACAACATAGCCTTGCTCATTGTCTAAAACTTGTTCAACATTTTGTTGTGTATCATTTTGATTATCATATTGAATTGTGTCTTGTTGGGCATGCTCATTATAATTTTCTCCTGTATATTCATTTTGCCCATACCCCTGGTCTGTACTATATTGTTGATCATATCCTTGTTCGTAATCTTGAACATTATCATAGCCAGTGTTATATTGTTGTTGGTAGTTTTGATCGTACTGCTGTAACGCCGCCTCGTCCTCAGTTTTTTCTATCACGTAAGGTGGTTCTGTTTGTGCGCCTTCGTAATTAGCGGTGTACTCTTCTTGATTATAGTTCTCGTGTGGAGCGGAATACTCCGTATTATAATTCTCCGCAGCACCTTCCTCATTATACAAATAGTTTTCTGTAGCTTGGTCATCATAATACGCATCATTGTTTTCAGCAAATGTTTCCACTCCAACCGTTTCAGCTAAATCAGTATCTTCGGTTACTATAATGGGATCAAAAATATTATCGGACTTTTCTTTAATATTGTCGTCAAGTGTAATAGTTTCGTTGTTGTCATTAGAACTATCTCCGCTTGTTTTTATCCATTGGTCATTTGGATTCATTTTTAATTCTTCATTGATTTGCAAATCATTCTGGGGAGTAAAATCTTGAGAGTTTATAATTTCAATAGGATATTCTAGTTGTTCACTTATATTTGTTGGATCTTTGGCTTCCGCTACCTGTATTTTATTTTCTCCTGCCAAGTTAAAATTATCTTTTGGCTCGTTATTAATAGCCAAGTTTTGCGTTTCACTATTATCGTAATATTCTTCTGCATTATATGTTACTTCTGGTGTATATTCATTTTGGTTGACGTCCCTTTCGTCGTAGACTATTTCGTGCTGATTCAATACTTTCTCTTCAGCAGTATTGTGCGGTGATTTTTCTGTTTCTTTCTTTTCTACGGGAAGCATATTTTTGAATTCACTTTTAGTTTCTTCTTGTTTCTTTTCACTATGGCCAATGTCGTGCTGATAAGTCTCATTGACAGCCTCATATTGATTTTCATGACCATTTAAATAATCGTTTCTTATTTCTTCTCCGGCTACATTAGTTTTATCATTGTAATAATTACTGTCGTTATTTAAGTTTTCATAATAATCGATATTAGGTTCAGCAACTGCGTTTAATTTTTCACTTGGTACATTTTCGCAATTTTCTTTGTTCAACTCTTTTTTATGCAAGTATGTTGTATCAGCATTTGATTCTGTATTTTCTTTTTCATTTTTCTTCAATTGTTCTAATATATCGTATTTACTTTTCCAATCGTTATTTTCAGTGTTTTGAGTAATTTCTTGTAAGTTATCATTGTTTAGCGTATATCTTAACTTGGGTATCAGTATATATTTTTTGCTTAGTTGCTGAAGTATTAACGGTTCATCCATATGCATGTAAGGTGTTTCTGGAGGTAGGTATCTCTTGTTGGTGCTAGGGGTTGCGTTGTATAAAACACCTTCGAACGCTTGCGTGGGTATGTGGTATGGTGATACTTTGCCGATTTCATCACTGGTACTGGACTGAAAGCAGAAATAAGCTCGATTAAAATTATTTTATTTCACCAGAACTATTGTCAACTTATTTAGGAATATAATGATATGTTTGTTTACAGAAAATTATTTGTTAGCAACTATCGCTGAGAGTCGACTACGCTCAACCTAGCATTGTCGTCGTTTCTGAGAAGCCAGCTCAATGTAGAAAAGTAAGTTTACGTAACAGGTTTATGTATACGTAACAGGTTAATGTATCATAGTTGCTTATAAGTAAGTACCTATTAGGATAACAGCAGTGAATGAGTTAATAGGTGGCACACCCACGTATGTGTCACACTACTATTATTATTTCAAGTAGGTATAATAAGAAATTCAATATTTTTTCTGCGCCTACGATCTCGTAAAAAGTTGTCTAAAAATAAACTATTCTGTCTAGGTACATAAAATACTAATACAATGGTGTCGATGCTGGCATGATTATCTAAACTTAAATTTGACAACAGTGTATCCTTTTCGTACTCTAAACGAAATGAAAAGGAGAGACTGATGTTAAATTTAGTTTTAAGTTTAGAGAATCACGCCAGAATCGACACTAGTGTCTTTCAAACGCATTCTTTGGACGGCCGCACGATAAAATGAACACAGCACAGCGCAGCACCGCTCGTGTTGATTGGTCTCACTTAAGCTAATACATCAAATTAGTCAGAGAAAATTTTACTAGAAAAACATCCATTGCACCCAAGTGTTAGGCTGAATATAAACCAACGTATTTCGCTCTCCGGGCGATTAGTAAAGTTACCGAATGATTGCATAGCGCTATGCTATCGAGACCTTAATGGACATACCGAATTTCATATAATACAATACAACTAGGTATAGGCTGCGCTGCGAGGCTAAATCGGTAACAGAAGTCGTGGCTTTTAATATTTCCAATAGTCCACCTTTTAGTATTTAAGAGATACAAAAAAGCCCGCTGTCACAGCTGTCTAAGGTTAAAGGACGTACAAGATAATCCTAAATAATAAGGTTTCGATAGCGGATGCTTATATTATAAATGCGAAAGTTTGTCTATCTGTTACTTCTCTTCGTGCTTTTAATCCGCTAAACCGATTCAAATAGGTATAGAGAGTTTGACTCGCGAGTAAGGACATAAGACAATTTTTATCATAGATGACATCCTTTATTTATGGGGTGGTGAAAAGAGGATTGACTGTTTGTATGGGAAACCAATATTTCCGCGCAAACGAAGTCGCGGACACCCACTCGTTGTAACATATATATCTAACTGGAATCTGTGATTACTTAAATTAAGATTCTGAATTAAAAACTTTTCATTTAAAATATTTGAAGGAGTACCTTCTGGCGAACTTGCACCAGTGCCGTGCTGCAGCGCATCTTGTCCATTTTCTCCAGGATATATTCATTTCTTTCCTTCCTCTTTCTGTCCTCCTCCAAATAGGCATCATATTTCTTCTTCAAAGCGTTTATACGTTCCGAATTAATCCTTAAATCAATAACAACTAGTGTAGTTATACTATAATAAAGACGATTGATTAGACGGAGATTAAACTTGGCAAATTACTTTTTATTCGATTTCCCCATACGTTAAAATTGATTCGATGACGTAACGGCAACTTTACTACAAACAGACAAGGGTTTGTATGGTACCGATGTAAACAAAGCAATGCCGCACGAACCGACCTTCGCGGCGGGCTCGCGGGTTTGCGCAGAATATGAGACATGCACAAATAGAAAGCTATTTACCCCCGGCCGAGCATCGTACATAGTTGGCCAACTTTATGTAGATAGCATTCATGTGACTATATTAGGGGTACCACATTTCCTAAACGTCCATAAAATTTTTGAAAAGTAGGTACGATACCATTATCGCCAGAACGACAATTATACAAAAAATTGCTCGTGCGGCTTACAAGCAGTACTAGAACACTTGTTATGAAATCTATATGTTTGAAAATCATTGAACGTATCGTGTAAGCGTACGCTCTTTACCAGTTAGGACGACGCAAGACACATGCCCGCAAGAGATGCGGTAAAAGGGGCGTTTCCTCCAACTCCTAGGTAAGTAATCTGTGCTACTACACGCCATCTTACTGGTGGGTGCACCAGAACAAAGAATGAATGTTTTTATGTTTAACATCTTTCCTCTCGCTTTCGTGCAATTTGTGGGAGTGATGGTGATGATGTCATGTAGCACCTCTTGGTGGGATAAAATCTTACCAAATAAATCTCGAAAATTGTAAAAAAACACGTGATAAATTCAGTTATTAAACATCTTCGTCCAGCCCATAATTTTCCTTTATTCTCACTAGTTCGGTTAGGGTGATTACTAACCCTTTAAGGAGATGAAAAAGAGCGTGGAAGGAAGAAGAAGTTTATGGGAAACCATTTTTCCACGCAGACGAAATCGGGAGCACCCATTAGTGGTGCACGTCACCTTTACAAGTTCAAAGAGCATTTAAGAATCTATTGTACTCTTATGTATCTAGGTAATTGAAACAAAGAAAGCTATGAAAATATTCATAAATTTGCATTGTCTATCAAAATATGTCTTACGTAAAGTTGTTAAAAATTCTTTTCTTCAAAAATTTTGTACTCGGTAAAATATTCGTTGAACTAAAATTTAAATTTTCTCAAAACATGTTTTGCATGCCGGCGCGGCGTTCTAATCTAATTTCCCAAAACTTCGACTGAGTCACGGTAATGTTGTTTATCGTACCGAACACTGATTTTATTACACAACTAGTTTTGTGATCTACCTAGCT